TCAGTACTACGACAAAATACGGGGTGCATGAGAAGAAGAAAAAAAAGAAGTCAAAGAAAAGCCGGACTTGTGGGGTTCGGTCATTAGATCTTGCGGAGAACAGAGTCTGTGATAGGCGGGAAGTCGTCAACAGAGCATCGACTGATACTCGTTCCCTTGCAAAGTTCCCAGCGCCTCGGACCAGTCGCCCGGGATTATCGACGCTCGGTAGAAGATTGAAAATTTTTGCTGGGGAGATTGATCCACAAGTACCAATTTGTCTCGCCAGGAATCAAACCAGTCGAAAGAGACGACATTCTCGGACCACTGGCGAAAAAGAAAGGCCAGTACAAAGGTAGAGCCAAACGACGGACTCCGTACCTTCGTATCCTCTGTTAACTGAATAGTACCTGTGCCGCGTAGTTTAGTACTTCGCACGAAGTAGATGTCCCGGAACATCTCCGCCTCTCCCCATCCTATCAACTCCACGCTCCGCCATTCAACAGAATCGAGATCGATTTAATACATCGCGAGTGGTGTCTCTTCCGATCACGACATGTGTACGGAGTAGTAGTTTATGTGTGTATATAATTTACTCCGTACATATCATTAGGTTAGTAGTGTATAGCACCGGGGGGCAAAGGCTGAACTCAATGCCAATATTATTTTTTTACCCCATTAGCAGTCGGAAAGCCCCAGATCTTCCCTCTTTTTGGCTCAACGACACGCGACCAGGCAAAAACGCTCCATGATTCCGTACGCGAGGGAACTTACAATACCGGACCACGGTAATATCTCTAATATTGCTTGGAAAGAGATCCCATTTCCGGGGATTCTGACTCACACGACTTTTCCGTAAGATAACAATATAGCAGTCCACGTTGCAAAGACATCCTTCGTACTCTCGCCACGTTGCTCTTCTTCTCTCATGTTTCATCTCGGTCAGGCGTAATTTCGGTATTTGTCTCCCCAGATTTTCGCTCTCCGGCAAACGGAACCTCGAGCCGAGGACCTAATCTACGCTTACAGGTGCACACAAATGCAATTTGGTTGGTATGAAATACTATTGCTCATGTCCCATAATACTCATTCTCAAGAACCGAATCGCCCATGTGTTGCCTCTGAATTCCTCGCCTCGGTCAACTTCATGCACATATGGGTGTGAATCATAACCAACACCATTTCATGTCGTACTTCGTACTTTGTAGTTATCAAGTTTGCTATTCACAGGCTCTGTGGGACATCGAGGACACCTTCATTTCCCCATCGCAAATTCACACCCGGACAGACCGGACAGACTCCACTCATATTACCTCGTCGGAAATGGCTGATGAGGGCAATGAAAGACTTGACTGGCACGGTGAACGACCCGGGTTCGTTCCTGCCAGGATCAAAAAATTTCTTTCCAGTCCCCTTTTCGAGGCAATGGTTGCCTGAGCTTGTGTCGTCTGCGTGAATCAAACCAGACGCTGTGCCGTCTTGGACCGTTATTGTTTGCCCTGAAGACCATACGAAGTACCTCAGTACGACAAGCACTAAACTGGGAGCTTGGAGAAGCGCAGTGTGCCCCATCCTTCGTACGCCGGCCCCAACGCCTCATCGAGGAATCCATCCACTTGTTGCCATCCGACGATCCTTTGTAAGGCCTTGCAGCTCACTATTAATAAAGCTATCAACTTGCGGTGTGCACTCAGACGGGACTGGCGGGCATTGATGCTGGATCCCGCATGTTTGTTTCCCACATCGTGTTGTTCTCCATGCACCCATCTGCCCAGATAAGGCTCCTCTGCACTCATCTCCATTTTTTTCCCTCAAAGAACATCCTTCGATGCAGCTCATAGCTCGGAAAGCGAGCGAAGATATCGATCAACGGAGGTTGGAAGCTCATGACATCACCCGCCTTCAACAGCCGCCTCGAGTCTTTATCCACCCCAGCAGTTATACTGAACTGACCTATCCCAAGCTCCTTGGCCATAAAAGTAAGAACGAAAAGGAGAAAAGTAGTCTTCCGCATGCCTTCTCGACCCTTCTGCATTCCGTTTGGTAATTGGGAAGATCCTTCTTTCATGCTCGACTCCGTCTCATGTTGGTGTGTCGCTCTGCCGCTCCCCGCATCATCTTCGTTTGCACCGTTGCCGATCACCCATCCGCAATCTCTAGCGGAGGCGTCCCCATACCTGAATTCCGGTTACGGTTTAACCCTTGGATTTACGGGCCCATTTAGCTGATGGCCTAATTTGACCCAAAAGCTTGATCCAAACAAGGTGCTACGCGACCGTAACATTAAAACAGGACTTGTTTCCGTTTGAACGCGATCCGATTCCGGTTCATGGTCAACCGGAGACCTAACATTCGAGGTAGGGATCAATTCTGTTGGTTTGAGTGGCTTTGAGTTCTATATTTTCACTCTATCTATAGTTTATAGGAGCTCCTAGCCGCGGAGCTGTTTCAATATTTTCGTTGGATTCGTAATGCTATGGTACCATTGATCACTGATGCTTACTTACCATGGTTGTCAGTTAATTGTCGTGGAAGTTGGTGGGGACGGACCGAAGACTTACCAGCGGCTCGTTCGAAGCATCGATAGCATCAATTGTCTCATACCCTTGCCTTGTATCCTAGCGGAGATAGAGGCATGAACTGCGCGCAGTAGGTTCTATTACAATATTTCTTCAGGACCAGACAGCTACTTTCCGAGACGGGCCATCCAAACCAGTCATACAGATGTCATTACACAAGACCTATTGAACGACGAGAGATAGGAAGGCCTTGGTGCAATGACGGATCCCCCGGATCTCGATATTACCTGGGTGATTAGCCCTCGCTATCAGGTAACCTTGATCCAACTGTGGTGGACTTATGGGAAAGGAGATCATGCCAGAGTGTTGTAGACCTCGAGTTTCGGTGTTCCAGAGCCAGGGCCCTCCTCCGCTTCCCTTCACATATAAACGATATGGCCGGAACTCATCACCTTTCTCTACTTAAGAAACCCCCACGATCGTAATGTTGCGCCGATGCTAGACGGTAGTGATGCTTCTTTAAAGTGTTAAGACAGAGGTAGATATCAAAATGCTGCCTTCGGTTTAGGGAGTATCATCGCCACGTATGTCACTAAAGTAATATCCTGTTCCAGCATTACATAGAAAGCATCAGAAGCGCCTTGAGAATAAACATGTACCCGTGGTCAAGCTCATAGGTGTAAGTTCCAGACACGGTTAATCGTCTATGCGGCGTTCCGGATCGCTACAACACAGGAAATAATAATCAACTTCCCTTCTTCTTCACTCTCGCAGTCCTGGGACGTTGATATTCCAGCTACATTACCGGTGACTTTCTTAGTTTGTAGTGTTCGGTTGTCTCAGGACATATTCTCTAGGCCGCTCGACTGTTGTCTGGCCCATAGTATCACAAGCGAACCCAGAAGTGAGTGGTCGGCTCGTTTGGTAGCCCGAGTCTATGATGGTCGCTCTCATGCAGCTGCAGTTTGACATGTAGATCATGTTCGACGCTGAAGCTATGAAAATACAGTACACAAAAGACATGGCTGCTGTGAGTCTAAATTGTAGGATAAACTAATAGGCTCCGCTCTAGAGCAGAAGATGCCTATATCCCATCATAAGCCAACAGGTCACGGAAGGACCTGCGCATGCCAATATATATGAAGGTTTGTATCCTGTACGTTAAGGGCCCTTCGATGATCTATAAGTTATATATTCTAAATGAGTCATGGGCAGACAGCTCATGCCTTTCCCAGATACAACTAGAACACAGATTGCCTCCAGATCGATGTTGCCCATTCTCACATCTCAACTAACAGACTTTCTCATATATTCGGGGTGTAAACCAAGGATAAGAGTTTCCGCGTCGTAGCTGCCGGACTCTAATGACCACTTAGTAAATGAGGCCTTTCGAATGGAGCACGAGAGGTAATTTTGATTTGGGATGGGGGTCTCCCCGAAAAACACAAAAGAGGAATTGGAAGAGACTGCTTCACATCATTTGTTCAGATATGGGAGTATACCCGGAGCTCCCCGGTTACCTTTACCTTCATTATGCTGGAGTTATGTTTCTCTCCTGTCTTCTTCCTTCCTTCCTTCCTTCCTTCCTTCTCTCTCTTTTTTTTTTTTCTTTTTTTTTCGCTTTTTTTCGCTTCTTTTTTCTCCTTGTTTTTGTCGCTTGCCAATTTCTAGATTGCACACGAAAACTTCTTCCCCCCTATCCTCGAATATCAAACGGGAGAATGATTATCAATGAGCTCTGATATGGATATCCATTTCCACCAGCCTCGTGTAATTCAAGCAGTGTTCGCTGCCCCAATGATTTGGTCGGTCGAGGCTCCGGGGCGAAGTTGGGGCAGCTCCGGCCCGGGGAAGCCGATTCGGTCGTGTCGGCTCCATTCTGCCCCGGAACTAACCCGAAGCTCCCATGAGCTAAACCGATCGAATAAGGCATGCTAAGTTCCTAACACCGAAACTGCTCCACCGGCCCATGCTACTTAAAACATCAAGCGTTTCTTTCCTTTGGCATGGCAGACGCGACTTTTGTCAGAGAAAGGCTCTCAAGCAGAGCGTGATTTGCAAATTCCCACACAATCCAACTTGTATCATAATGAAATACGCCAAAAAGAATGCGCCCCGGCCTGATGCTGATAGGACTTATGATCCGATGTTCCGCACATGCAACAGTGCTGACTCGTGTCTCAGCTGGGGACCCAAGCCTTTATCCCCGCTCCGTCTCCCCGCCCGGACATGCATACCGAGGTACATCAGGAAGGGCGTGCGAGACAAGCACTCAGCAATTGCGCCTTAAAAGGCAGAGCGGAGGTGAGACAGTACTCACCCCACACCTGGGCTCTCAAACTCCTGACTTGTTTTCCCTCCCGCTGTCTGGATTGTTGGGTTGGAAGCCGGCCGGCGATAAACTTCTTGTCAATTCAGTCGTGATCAACCTCAAACCCCACCTGACGTCACTCCTCCCAATTGTGTCATCAAGGGCACCGAGAGAGCTTCAACCTCATCAAAATGAGCTCTGCTGCAAAGATAGTTCTGTACCACTACTCCTACTCGCCGTATGCACGTAGGGTCGCCTGGTATCTGGCGCTGCGAGGCATTCCCTACTCGGAATGTGTAAGTTTTTTTTTTTTTTTTTTTTTTTTTTTTTTTTCGGGTCTGCTTTCTTTATCTTACTTCCCCTCGCTCTCTTCCCCGCGCTTGCTGACGAAGGCTCATCCTGGGTGCCAAGATTCAACCTCCCATGATGCCAAGGCCAGATGTGGCTAAGCTTGGCATCAATTATCGAAGAATCCCACTTCTTTCTATCGGCCGAGATGTCTACCTGGACACGCGCCTCATAATTGAAAAGTTGGAGCAGCTCCCTGGCAGGCCAAAGCTCGGTGCGGCCAACAACAATGAGCGGGTGACCGAGCGCCTGCTTCAAGCGTTCAATATAGATGGCGGCATATTCAACTACTGTTTCCAGGCCCTGCCCACGGACCTACCACTTTTACAAGACCCGGCCTACTACAAGGATCGCGGTGATTATATAGGTTTTGATGTGACGAAGGAGTCTCTGATCAGGAATCGAGCCGATGCTATCGCCGAATTAAGGGGCGCCTTTGACTTTTTGGAAAAAACGCTTCTTGCTGATGGTCGCGAGTGGGCTCTAGGAACGGACGGACCACGGTTAGCTGATATCGAGGCCATTTGGCCTTTCCACTGGCTCACAGGACTTCCCGGAGCTCTTCCGCAGGAGACTTTCTCGCCGGTGACATATCCCAAAGTTTATTCGTGGGTAGCTAGGTTCCAGAAAGCAGTGAGCGATGCCAAAAAGACCTATGGGAGAGCAAAGGGCATCAGTGGAGAGGAGGCTTTCAGGGCCATCACATCGTCCCCTTACAATGAGCAGCCGGGTGCAATTGATGAAAGTGATCCTGTTGTCGCAGCGGAGGGTCTCAAGAGGGGCACTCAGGTTACTATCTGGCCGAGCGACACTGGGTCCTCATATAAGGATACCGGTAAACTCGTCAGCATCAACCAGACGGAGGTGGTATTTGAGACCCTGGTGCCCGAATCCCGATCCACAGCGGTGAGGGTTCATGCGCCGCGCCACGGATTCCGGGTCAGGAACAGTGGAGGCCAGACGCGATTGTAAGATAACAAGAGTTAGACCACGAGATAACTCCATTGGCAACGACACTCCCTTCCAACCAAATGCCCATTTCTCGGTCTCCAAAGTTGGGAAGGTGGATGTACCAAGGAGTAATCACATAATGTCTAATAATCACGTGAGATATTCTCTTTTCACCTGGTACTCCTTTGCTCAGGCTCATATCCTCTCGATGCCCGGCCCCCGATCGTCAACTGGAAAAGACGGGTCGAGGTCAACCGAAGTCGGTCTTGAATAATATCCAATATCCAATATCCAATTGATGGCAATTCGTCCAAGTTTGGACAGGCATTATTAATTTAGAAGAGAATATAATTACAAAGCGGTGCACACACCAAGTCGACGCTAATGTTGGCTCGTGTTCTTCATTCACACATGGGCAGAAGAACGCGAAAACTCCCGTACTGTGCAGCAAGAAAATTCGCTCCGGAAGGCCCTTAAGCAGATCACGCAAGAGGCTGGAGGACTTGGATTTACTTCGAGTACGAAGTACTTCGTACATATACAGTATGAATAGATCCCAAGGGCACCATCCGACTGGGATGGTACTGTGGGGTGAAAATTATGGCTGTTGACCTCTTGCCAATTGGGAACGGGCCATGCAGATGTTTTGCCGTTGGCTGCAGGAATACCGAGGGCGGTCTGCTCAATGCTGCCAACGAGGATCGGCAATGCTCCCTTTCTCGTTCTTGGCTCGCGTGAAAAATTGCTGCGCAAAGCGTGGGCCAACGTGGAGCTGCATGGGAAGTGGAAGATGTTGGACGCTTTGGAAGATGGACCAGCCGGTTTCGCGCACGAGAGGACGTTCTACTCCGCGATACAGTTACCACGTCATATCATCTCGTGAGGAGGAATGAGCAGGATGCGCACTGTGTAGGATATTATGCGGTTACGTCATTTTTGGGTAATTCGATTTTTTTCCTTTTCCTAATCGGAAGTACTGTTACTTCTCACGGCGTCGTTTCCTACCAACTTGGCGGCAGGGTAGGACAGGCGTGACGAGTCGAGTCTCCTTGTTCCCCGACTGATAGCTGATGCAAATAGATCGAGAATAATCCATCGATATGAGAAGGCGGGGAACTTGGGTTCTTCAATGTTCCAAGCTGTGACTGGTTTCGGAACCTCGACACATGACGGACGTGTCGTCAGTTGGCGGTGTGTCACCCGTCATTAGTATATTTCTTTATTAGTTTACCTTCGCGGCTACTTTTCTCTCACACTGTAGGATGTGTGATCCACTTCAGATCCAGTATTACTCACGTCATGTACAGAGGTATTGGGAACATTTTCTCGATCCCGCGAACCCGCGCACGGACAACCGTGAGACGCTCTGGATGAGAAAATTTGAAGTCATCGAGTTTATCTGCTTGCCTGTCTCTGGCCAGTCATAGAGCGTTGAACTGTCTAGGATGGGGGCCCCACGGCTAATACCTTTCGAGTCAAACAAGCTTCTTGCCACAAGAGCCAGTTGGAGAGACGCGGACTTGGTCCGAGGGCAAAAATCGAGAAGGTAACAGAAGGTTGTCTTCCGTAGCCAGGGAGAGTCTGGTTGAATCAAGCGAGCGATGACTTCGACGGATGGGATGTTTCTCGAGCGTTAGATGAGATTCTCGAGGAGCCGATCGATCGAAGCGACGAATTGAGAATATCGATCAATTGATCATAATATGCTTATTTTACGCTGTCATGGGGGGGGGGGGGGGGGGGGGGGGCGGCTCGAAAAGATGTCGACGGCTAGGTTAGAGTGTTCGAGTTTTCGAGACTGGGAGCTATCAGCTTAAAGAGCTTGGAGGCGTATGCTTGCATGTTTGTGTGCCTACAAAATATTTGTTCGGAAGGTTAATGCAGCTAAGTGAAGTCAAAACAAAGCTCGAGATGCTCACCTGTATTGAGAAAATGTCTCTGATTCTGCATACGAAGCCTCAACTCCTGCCATCAATCCGTTGACGGATGGCGAATTGAGCTGCAGGGGAGAACATGCTAGTCATGGAGTACTGTGACTCCGAACAGTAGCTGTACGGAGTACAAAGGTACGATGACGAACAATCCCTGGAAGCTTCGCTGCACTGTGCCCAGCAACCATCAGTCGAGGATGACCCACTTGTTCATTGTGTACTCCGTGCGGAATGTGTCGTTAAATCTCCTGAGAGCAGGTTCAACCGTCGCAATTTCAGGACGAGGGAGGAGGAACCAGACACGCCGTCATCCTGTCCGATGCAGAAAACTGGCACTGTACGGAGCCACACAACATTTGAGTGTCAAGGATTATTAGTGGTGATTTTGCCCCTCATGCCCCAACCATAGCGACTGACCAGCCACTGGATCGCCTGCCCACCTTTCCCATGGGTGTCCACCCTGGAGCAGTGCCTACGGATATATGACACTGTGTCGAACGATGGGAAAGACTTTTTTTCTTTTTCTCCGTATTCTTTTTTTTTTCTTTTTTTTTTTTTTCCCTTGCCCGGGACCACTTTCTTCCCTTTTTCAGTCCTCTTTCCCACACAACGTCATACATCCACTGACGTCGCCCATTTTTTTCCCCTTGTCCCAGAAGCATCACAACAACCACCACCACCACCACTTCCACCTCCGCCCAATACCAGCACCACAACAACGGCTTGCCGAGAATTGACGATACCCGTTACGCCTCTTCCCCGCCGGTCTTGGAGTGAAGATTAAGGCAAAATAATTTCGATGCTGTAGCGCATTTCGGTACGGAACACCACGATAACTAGATTCCTGTCGTGTCGCCGTGCCTTTTACAGCCTCACACCATTCCATCGAAAACTGCATTTCGAGAATTCTTTGGTGTAATCCCAGCTTCTGCGCCTTGCATCAATTGGGACGTGGCTGAGGATCTTGGGACTCTGTATCCGCATTACTTGGGCGTGCCCTTCCATGTCTTACCTCTGACCTCATCGAGTCTTAGTCTTGTCACTGTGTCTACGCAGCGTCATCGCACGCTTTCTCAACCCTTTACATTTCTTCTCCCTTTCTATTTCCTTTTGTATTCTTCTTGTTAAATAGATCTTTCCCATTATGGCAGCCTCGCGGGATGCCTCAGCGGTGGCGGACTCCAAGTCGCCCAGACTCTCCAACACTGAGTCCTCGTCACAGCAAGGTAAGCCTACTACTTTCATTCGAACCCATCTGCTCCTTTTACGACGACTTGTCTAACTTGTTGTGCGTGCTATTCCAGACCCGTCTTCCGATGTAAAGAAGTCCGATGCAGCTACGAAGCCTGATGGGTCGACGGGTGATGTGTCAAAATCTCTTGGGCCTCCTCCGCGGCCTGTAGAACAAGGGACCAATACCCCCGACTACTTCTCGAGCCAGGTTGGAGGGTCTCTGAGTCTCGAGCCTAATCCATTCGAACAATCATTCGGCGGCGGCGGCCAGCCTGAGACGCCGGGAGGCACCAAGCTTCCCTCGGTCGCCGCCTTGACATCGCCATCGTCCATGATTCCCGGCAGCGGTGCTACCCCGTTCAACTGGGCCGGTGGATCTCTTCGAAGTGGCCCCCTGAGCCCTGCGATGCTATCTGGACCGGCTAACGATTACTTCGGCGATACTCATCACATCCGGGGAGGCTTTCCTACTCCAAACGAGTCTTCCTTACGGACTGGACTTACACCGGGAGGCAGTGGCTCCATGTTCCCCGCGCCTAGTCCCAACCCCGCCCTTCTGGCACTGACGGGTGGCGGCGCCACGCCCAGCACTCTAGAGTTTCATCGCACCGCGATAAGTGCTGCTGCGAAGCGCGAGATGCAGAACGCTGCGCAAGCCCAGCCCCTCCCTCCCACATCCCAACCTATTGAGGTACAAAGCAATGTGACAAATACGGCGGTAAAAGCAGAACCTCGGGCTAGCGGGCCCTTTGATCCTCATGATAATGATGCTGCAAATGGACTTTTCATGTTGGCGCAGGGCAGGAATGGAGCCCCGAATCCCACAAGCTTCCCTGTTACATCCCAACCCCAAGTCCACGCTCATCCCGCTCCCGCGCCACCGAAGCCTGCCACAAATGTCTCGCCCCAGATAGCTACCGTAAATGGTAATTCTGGCGCGCCTGGATCGACTCGTGGCTCGAGCGAGACTGGTAGCACAGGCTCTGATGACAATGAGCAGCCGTCGCGGCCAGCTGGTAGAGGCAAGGGCAAAAGGAACACAGCCAACGGCTCCGCTGCTACTAATGGTCGGCGGAAGGCCGAGGACTCCGCGACTAAAGGTTCTGCTAAGAAGGCGAAGACTGCAGCTGCTGCCATGAGTGCGGATGATGGAGACTCGGATGACGATGAAATGAATCAAAATTCTAAGTCCAAGGACGAATCTGGATCGAAGTCTAAAATGACAGACGAAGAGAAACGTCGTAACTTTCTGGAGCGAAATAGGTATGCTGAGGATTTTCCTCTTTCCTCTGAACAAATTCTTGACCCACCACTGTTTTCCTTTTTTGGGGGTGCCAGAGTGCTGATTCTTAAATAGGGTGGCTGCACTGAAATGTCGCCAACGGAAAAAGCAATGGCTTGCTAGTTTGCAGTCAAAGGTTGAGCTATTTAGCAACGAGAACGAGGCTCTCACCGCCCAGATTGCCCAGTTGCGGGAAGAAGTTGTCAACTTGAAGACACTACTCCTGGCTCATAAAGACTGTCCAGTTACTCAACAACAGGCTTCACTGCATGGGCCATACATGCAAGTTGTTGAACCCTATAACGGCCCGATGAACCCTTACGGCATGGCGGCACCTCCGATGCCAAATCAGCCAGTGATGGCAGGTCAACCAGTCCAGCGGCGATTCAGTTGAGGCCCTATCTTCGATTGACGTCAGGGTATAATATCTCACGAAGCGTACGGTAACGACCTCACTATTTCTACGACGGATCAGTTCTCTTCTGGCATTGGAGAGATGTCTAGGATAATTAGGTGAACGGGATTTCTTTATTTTTCACGACTATGGCAACCAAGCTCAGGTAGCTTCTTGCTACCACATACATGACCAAGGGTCACGTTCTGTTTTCCACGTTCGCCATCACTCAAAAGGAAGTGGAGGCTGTATACTATAAACAAAAGGCAGTCGTTGTTTGACTCGGGGCAGTTTCTCCCTTCCTCACTTCCTTCCTCCCTATACGTTTTTACTATTTTCGAAAGACGGTGTGACGGATCCGAACCGTCTACCTTCACTTATGTTTTACTAAAACGCACACTTCGGGAGGGCATACGTGTCAAAAAAAGGCTACTAACAAAAGACACGATTCGCGTCTACTTTGTCTGGTCGGAGAGGGGAGAGTAGGGAGTACTAAAGGCGTTTGTGGGCTCAGCGGCTATCGAGAGGGGCGAGCCTCGGTTTACATCTTTTTCCTTGCTATTTCCCTTCTTTTTCATTCCCAACTGTTTGAACTTGGAATTTCTCTTGCCTGACTGGCAGGACATGTTGTGTGGCAGAAGGAAACAAAAGCTACAATGTATAAAAAGAGCAAAATAGGGCTTCAATGCAGGAGAGATGATAGCAAAATTAGATATCAAGTCAGATGTTATCTCGACCTCAGTGTCTCTCCATATCGTGTCGTATCATCATTTTGGAAAACTTTAGAGTAAGCTTTTGGGAGAACATCTCTGGTGGTCCAGAACCCATTGAACGGATGGTCACGTGAAATCGACGAACAGACAACAACGAAGACATATTTTGATGTCATTCAATTACATAAGCAATAAGCGGGATGCCGCACGATTGCCAGGCCGGCAAAATCCGTCAAATCTCCCGACGCCAATTTGTCCATGCTTCCTAGCATGTCTCTTTGGTCCCTCAATGTAAACAGACCAAGCGAAGAAGGCCGGCAACCACAGCGCAACCCCCCATCGCGATCCCCAGCATACGAGCGCATCCTCACAACCGATCGAATCCGAAGAACAACCCGAATTGAGATTCTCTATCGCGTTCTCCACCTTCGTATCGACGCGATTTGGGCACATCTCCGGTTCACTCGATAACGGACGCGTCGTGGTGTGGAAGAGGAAGAGGACGAAATCGAATTACCGCGGACAGACGTGGGACTCGACCTACACGACGAACGAACAACGGGCGAATGCTTTGCGCTCGATATATCACATCGTCGAATTTAACTCGGATATTGTACTTCCAATGTTCATTTCAGCCCTGCATCCATGACGACTGTTATTCGAACCCGAGAGCCGCTGCAAATTCTGAGCATGAGTAATCAGGAGCGGCGGAAGAGCAAGCGTCTCGCTGGTATGTTGCTTTCTTTTAAGGAGGCTCCTTTATAATTTCTTGGTTTCCTGAGGCACTTTAAATTTGGGAATGTTGGTGTCGCTGACTGGCAGGCCGTTTTTCGGTGCGCGCATCCATAGCCCTATACGACGAGCAAGATGGAGACTTCAAGTTTTTGCGCGCATCCAAGCGTCCAAGGACGAGCGATGTGGTGGAAGAGGGACCTTCCCAGCCCGCCCCGGCGACCCAACCGAGAAGATCGAACCGAGCGAAGCAGACCAAGGAGGCCGCACCTCCCAAGGCGCCAGCAGAAGAGCCCGCTCCGAAGCGGAGATCGGCGCGACGGAAGGCGAGCGTAGATGCTTCTGAGGATGCGGCGACATTAGTGGTACCGAAGAGACTGACCAGACGAAGTACACGACACACACCGGCAACAGTGGAGGAGGAACCGCAAGCCAACGGCGCGCCAGTCGATGACGATGATCGGATGGATATTATTGGCGGAACACCAGTGCAACCACCAACGAGTACAGATGAGGAGGATGTGAGGAGAGTGGCGCTGCCCATGAGCGACACGCCCGTTATTAACCGGAATAAGGAGATGCGCAAAAAGGCTGGTGGGGGTAATAGGCGGAGCAGTTTAGGGTCACGAGGAAGGAGGGCCAGCTCACTCATCGAGATGGGACACACGGCGTTACCACACAAGGAAGTGGATGCCTCCGAGTTCTACAAACATATCGAATCGGAGGGATTGCCCGAGCCGAGGCGGATGAAGCAGCTCTTAACCTGGTGTGGTGAGAGGGCGCTCTCTAAGAAGCCACCCCTTGGGTCTAGGAACTCAGGTGCCGTATTGGGAGGTGCGTGCAAGCGTTGCGTTTGGAAGTGTTAGGGATCATTTTCTCGTTTCCGCCGACTAACATTTAACTTCCTGTAGCCCGAGCGATACAAGACCAACTATTGAAGGACTTCCAATCAAAGTCGGAGTTCTCGAATTGGTTCGATAGAGAAGATGTCCCGGCGGTGGAGGCGGTGAAGCAACCAAACCCGAGAAACGTCGAACATGCGCAAAAAATTGAACAATTAGAAGAGAAAATCAAAAGGTAAGCCTACATTGATCAGGGGGGATGAGCTCTCTGTTGCTAACTGATCCGTCTCCAGGTTACGAGAGCAAAAGAAGATGTGGCTATCACTAAAGAAGATTGGACCCGATACCGAACCCTTATTCCCTGAGAGCAGCCATGGCACTCAATTACCCCCACCCGATGAATCCCTCCTCGATCCTACCGAGACCCAAATGCTTCAATCATTAACAGGAAAGGAATCCTCATTCGAGCAACTACACGCGGAGACGACGAGCCGCATACAAGCCATCCAGTCCAAGCTACGGTTTAGGATCGACGTCCTCGCGGATAGTGTGCACAAACTCGAGCAGAGGGTAGCGACAGCGGGACGCGAGGCGGACAGGGTCCTTTCCCAAAGTGCGGTGCGGCTAAAAGAGAGGGAAGAGAGGGAGAAGAAGGCAGCCGGGACGAAGGACTTGCCGATCATGGAGGTGGTCAGAAGTCTTGGGCGAATACTCCCCGAAGGCGACGGTTGACAAATGCAAGAATGAGCTGTGTGTGGAAGAGGAAGAGCGATCGAAGACACGGGATATATACCCATGCTCTAGGAAAGCTTGCTTTGCCTCGTTTGCTCCGGCTATCTTTTATACCACGACCACATACTTGGACTTCCCGTAGGGCCGGTTTGCTTCCCCCCGTGTTTCGATATTGTTCTCGTAACATTTTTTTCTTTCTTCATCGGCGGACTCCATTTCATTTTATAGCATGAGGCGCGGAGGCGAGATGTTTGGTTCTAGGATGGGCGGGCAATGAGATCAACGACTTTGATGATGAGATTTCTTCTCTTCTCTCACCGGGCGCCTTGTGCAGCGAGAGGCCATTGTTTTCGGTTTTCCTTCGTGGAGTGTAATATCCTAATATTATACATTTTTGAATACGTTTTGATTCCCCCAGTAACTTTTCTTTCCTCTTTTCGACGACCAATTTTTTCTTTTCGTTGTGCATACCCAGACTGTCGTCAATGGACTGTATCCTGCCTTCTTTCGCTCGTACACACGTCCAATCTCGTACAAAACCCCCGTCCTAGAGTACAAGAAATATCAAGCACGTCTCCGGGAGAGAGAGACAGCTTAGTCCTTCTCAGTTCCCTCACCGAAAAGCAACGGCCTAGCAGCCATACCGCCGCCACTCCCGCTCTTCCCATCCGCCGCGGACTTATCCTTGACATGCTGCCTCAACTTGCTCAAAAGCTCGCTCGACCTCCACCGTTCGGGAACGGGCCTGTACCCGGCCTCGAAGTTACCGGCTATCCGCGCCCACTCACCGGGGACGGGATCGCGCTTATAGGTATCCTCCGTGGCGGGACGTTCGGACGCAGAGGTAGAGGAAGAGGAAGCGGAAGCGACGGAGGCGGGGTCTTCGGGGTCTTGGGTGGCCCAGTAGTAGATGTCCCAGTCCTCTTCGAGGAGGAATTGGTCGTATTCTTCGAGCTGGGCGCGGTCCATTTTGGGGAGGTGGTCGGCGGCGAAGGTGGAGAGGAGGAGGTCGGATTCTAGGGTTCCGCGGTAGCGGGATTGGTCTATTTTTGATTTCTTTTGTTAGTATTTCGTTTTCCTCCTCACCTTTCGTCCACGACGGAATGTGTGGTATGATGTCGGTTGGGAACGTACAGATTAGCCTTCTGCGTAGGGTGTCGTCACTTTCGCCTTGTCTTTGGAAGGCACGGTATTGCTCTCGGGGGTTATCGATGTTCATCGCCCGAGGTGTTATCGAGATGAAGCGCCTCGCGACGAGACCTGAAGGCGCGGATTGCCTTGCGAGAAGGAGGCGGAAAGGTCGTAGAGAGGACGCCATTGTGTGTATGTGTAGATTTTTCCCCCCTTTTTTCCACAGTTCAGACCTCCTCTGTTCTAGTTCGGACGGAAAGATTGTTGTTTTGGGTAATTGGCTTCGGGGTTGGGGTTTGGAGCTTCTTTCAAAAGCTCTGGCTCAGGAAAATTCAAAGGTGCTGAAAGAATTGCATGAAGTTTTGACGCAACCGAGGTCAAGCTCAATTCGAGATCACAGCTCTTGCTGAGTTATTATTAGCTCTTTCACCCCGGATTACGTCAAAATCCCTTGCCACCATCTTTCGCGTCAACACAATTGCAGTATCTCCAGAGATGAGAGGTAACGCCGAGAATTATTATTGATTCAGCAGATTGAGCTTCTCAAGGAAATATCGTCGATAGATACGACTAATTCGCCGGGATGAAAAAGCAAAGACCCCACATACTCTACTCCTTGACCTGCCCCAACCAGCTAGGCTAGTCATTTTTCTTACAAGTTTACGAAAATGCACTTGATTGTTTGCATTCGGGGCGTATGTTATCGTCAATGATGGTCATATCGCCGTAACTGAAGTTAAAAAAGATATACTTTTGATCCCAGCCGGTGATACTCTACAACCTGGAACTAGAGAGACCCAAGGAACCTTGTTTTGCTCCGCTTGCCCCGTCCTTTTCCAGAACCAAACCATCTTCCCATTAAGGCACCAATATAGATATAGTCGTGTACTACCTCTCTCAGTTTCCACAGCACTCTCCTTAGCCATACTCGTTGCAGTCGTTTAGATGAGATGCTTAGACCTATTCGTAGAACACATGTTAGCAAGAACCCTTGCCGAGGAAAGGGCGCACTGGAAAACCAGCGCAATCGCGCAAATGCACACGCATATATTGCATACCTGAAGTAGGCACGGAGGTAAATAATCTGCCAGGCCCAAAGGGCAATCAACAGTCCAGTAGTTCCAAGGCCGAAAGTCTTGACGCGGTTGTTGGTGCTCTCGTTGGTATCGCGGAGCTTCTGCTCACGGTTACGGAGGTACTCCATCTCCTTGACGATCTCTCCAACAAGCTCCTCGATTCGGCGGAGCTCGGTCTCGACGGGCTTGAGCTTCTCGGTGGCCTGAATGGCGGCCCAGTCCTTAGCGTCGGCGCCAATGTCTACGTCGAGCTCAACATCACGGGAGAGGTGGTGTCCGCCCTTGCCTAATAGATGCGGAGAATGATGGGTTAGCGGAATATGAATAAGTTAACGATTCGGAGATTCCTTAAAGCAGAATACGGGTAAAATTCGTGCGCGAGAGTGGTCGTACCGGTCTGAATGTTCTCGAAGCAAATGTCGAAAGCGGCATCGGCAAGCGAGGTGAAAACGATTCGCTTCTCTCCGGCAACGTCCTTGGGCTTTCCGTAATCGTTTCCGAGCAAGTCGCGGATCTAATCAAGCCCGATAATTCATCAGCATCACATCGCCCACATCACGTAGAAAAGGAGGCTTCGCTAGTAGGATTTTGCAAAACGTACGTGCATGTTCACCTGCTGTCCATCGCCCTTGTTTCCGCTCACAATCGCCGTGACGACAATCAGAGTATCCCTCCCAACAAAATTCCGTATGCATCGCTCCCGAACGTCGTTGGCTCTCCTGGCTTCGAGCTCGAATTTAAGGGCGTTGCCAAACGTGGCCAAAAGGAGTAAACTGCAGATGAACCGCAGTATCGAGGTTCGTTGAGCCATCTTGTTGTGTGTGTCCCAAACCAAAAATATGTCCAACAAGAAAAGAACCGAAGTGAAAGGAAGGGAAATGTAGTGGGTTCGCTGAAGAGGTTGTCAGGAAAAGAGACACTCGACAACTCGAAATGGGAGATCTGTCGCGTTTGGCGGACCCTAGCAATTACTGCCAGGGGAGTCCAGAAGTACAAGGTACGAAGTACTTGACTAACTTTCGATTTGCTGGCCTGAATCATTAAACTAGCCAATGGGCAGCTTTTTTCAGCTGAAAGCCTTGTCTTGGCGTCGTCACGTGAAGCAAACAGCCTCGCGATTTTTTATAAGTACTTTTAGCCGCAGCGCGAAGCTAACTCGATCATCAACTTCGAGTCCCAAAGAGCCTTCCAGGTGAATTCGAGCTGCCAAGATGCCCAAATGTAAGTTCAAGCCTCACAATCGCTCATTCTCTATTCTGGATTAAATGCTAACTCATCCGCGACAGTTTTCTGTAGGTTTTCCACCCCGATTCCGTCCTTCCCTGCCCCGCGCCAGCATCATCACTAACCAACCTTTGCCACAGGCGACTACTGCGATGTCTACCTTACGCACGACTCCATGAGCGTGCGCAAGGCCCACAACAGCGGCAGAAACCACTTGCGCAATGTCGTAGACTACTACCAACGTATGTATCTCTCCCAGGAGCCACGCGCGCAAGCTTCCATGCTCACCACCACCAACTACTATCCAGAGATCGGCCACGAAAAGGCCCAGTCCGTCATCGACTCCATCACCTCATCCTACGCCGCCGAGGGCCAGGCCCACGCGAACCCAATGCTTCCTCAGAACCAACCCGGTCACCACCACAACTTCCCGCCGTTTCCTTTCCCCGGTGGTGCGCCGCCGCCGTTCGCGGCGCCTGGTGGTGGTCCACCAGGCCCGTTCCCTCCGGGCATGCCTCCTCGTATGTTTCAATCCTTTCCCCACGAATCCGATGTTGTTGCATTTGGCGCATGCCAGCGCCCTAGAAAGATCGCACGAATTGCTAACTTTGATTTCTCAATAGTTCCCACAGCCGGCTCAGGAATGCCTCCACCGATCCCACCCTTCGCCACCGGCCCAGGCGCGCCTCCGATGCCCCCAGGCGGCCTTCCATTCCCTCCTCTCCCCGGCGGTCTCCCTTTCCCCCCACCTCCCGGCCAGCCCGGCTCTCTACCGAACTTCCCTCCCATCCCTGGAATGCCTCCACCACCTGGTGGCAAGGGCTTCCCTCTGCCTCCGCCGGGTGCCTTTCCTCCAGGCGTAGTCCCACCTCCCGGTGCCTTCCCCCCTCCTGGCGCGCCGGGTATTCCTGGCATGCCGCCCATGCCTTCTAAGCTGCCAGCGGATGATAAGAAATGAGAGGGCTCCTTTCTGTTGGTTGAGAAATGTCTCGCCTTTTGAAGGGGAAGAAGAAGAAGAACCAGAAGAAGAAAAAAAAAGAAACGGGGATTCAAGAACAAACGATAGGTGGAACTTAATACCCTCATTCCCTGACCCCAGGGACAATCTCTCCGAGAGACTTAAAATCCCGGGAAACACAGCAGTGTCCGGACCAGATGAGTCGCTATGACCATAGACTTGGAGCATGTTATTCTCCCTCTTCCCTAACAACAGTAACAACAGGGGCTACAACACCTTTCCACGACAATCGTAAAGAACATGGCGCGCCGGAGTTCCTGCAATAAGCACAAAACAAGACACGAGATGTTCGATCTCGTGAGGATAGTTAGATATATACTAGCCCTGCTAACACTAAATATACCAGCATCTTTCTAGTTCTGCAAATATCGATTCACGAATGTCTCCATATGTACGTGTTACTTTGTTCGTACATCAAACCCAAACATTCATATTCATTCGTAGATCAATATCATTCCGACTCTAAAAAAAGTTAATCGCAACGGACCTCCCACTCGTTGTTCGTAAGCTAGCCAAGAATGTGCGCGGCTCTGGTTAACCGTTTCGCTTCAGCAAAAAAAGTGCTCTATAATACAGGAACGTCAGGGCATCAAGAGTCGTGTCGTGGAATCATGCCAAACTTGCTCTTCGTCCCTTCATCTCGATCGGTCCAGCCTTTCCTTTCGCGATAGCCAAACAAAAACACTTCGTAGCCCGTAATCCTAGCAGGCATGCAATTGAAAGAAACAAGGAGAAAACATAACAAATCATCCCGGAACAAACAAACATATTTCATAGAGCCAGAAGCACCAAGATGGATGGAGAGAGGACATCACCAAGATGGTTGCTTGAGTCCCTGCTTGTGCCGCCTCAGTCATCCACCATTCAAGCGCATCCGGAACAGGGTGACAGAATTGCTCGTGTGCTATATATAGAAATGAGCATCAATAGGAAATATAAACTAGAAAAGAAAATGAAATAAAAAGTCATCACGCATATTCGTCGTTACAAATGTCGTCAAATGCCTTGCTCGCTCCGCTTTCCTTCGAAATTTGTGACCCGAACGCCCATGTCGGATAACCTGAGGGCACAAAAGATATGGGGCAAAGGAAAATAAAGAGAAAAAAAAAAAAAAAGACTTGAGTTGGCGCAACTGTGAACAGGTCCGTCTCTCCAGGGTACCTGGGCTGCGCTGCTTAGACTTAGTCTCTGGAATCCGACTGAGGAGGCTGCTGTTGCTGTTGCTGCTGCTCAAGATATCCGCGATAGCTGCGTCTCCGAATCACATCGCCGACGCCATCCCGCACCTCTTTAGGCGCACTAATCTTGCGCCTTAGCTCCTGCGATCTCTTTTCCTTCTTCCTCTCGCTTAGGCGCCTGGGGAGGCTTTGCAGCTCCTCTAACTTGCTGCTCAACATCGGCAACAGACGTCTCCGTTCAGGTCTGTCGAGCCTATCGGGGGTCTCGTCCGGTCTTTCAAGTATTCCATTGGCCCTGCTCCGTCCGTAACCCCTCCAGAATGAGGGCGAAGGTTCGGGACTATCAGGAGCAGTGTACGGCCTCTGGTCGTATAGATGACGGCTCTGATTGAGGGAGTCGAGACTCCCATGTCTTCTGATTACCCTAAGGTTTCCGCTAGGTGTGCGACCGATTGTCCGGCGATCTGTGTCGAGATTCTTGGCCGCATGGGAGATTCTTGACTGAGGTCCTTGCGCGGGAAGGATGGCAAAGGTCTTCTTGAATCGCTGGCTGAAGTTGCGTCGCGGGCGGTTATCGACGAGGGGATACCGGAAGACTTGTTCATAAGGCTCCTCATCGACAAGGCGCTCGTCGTCCAAGTCGTCACCTTCGTCTGACTCGTAATCGAGATGGGCCGGCCGCCAGAACGGATGGAGCATGCGCTCATCAGCAGGAGGTTGTTCGACTGTTGGGTATGGTGGCTCCCCTAGCTCTGGTCTTCTAGCCTTAGAGGCCGATGTAGGCTCCGTCACCTTGCGAACAGCTTTTGACAATGAGAGGTTTCGAATGCGAAAATTAGGCCGGTGAGAGGCAGACGCGGCGGACTCTGAGTAGCGCCGTCGAGACAACGCCCTACGAACAAGAGACATGCTCCGCTTTGGCCTCGCCTCCATCTCTTCAAAGTAATTTCCCATTCGCACGCGGCGTTCTCCTGCGGGCGTCGATCCAGAAGGTGTTGCGGGAATAAATGCGATCGCCGGTGGTTCATCTGGTGGTTCGGGGGCAGACCGAGGGTTCCTGAGAGGAGAATAATCTAGATCTTCAGGCTCTTGCCGCTGTGGCTGAGGAGGTGTGACAGGTTCTTCGCTATCGGGAGCTGTGGTGGTGATCCTCGGATTTATTTCCACTTGTTCGAGACTAGATGCACTATCCTTTCGACCAGGTTGAGATTGCTTCGAAAGATCCGAATCGTTTGAGGGTTTGGATGATCCATGGTCGACCATGAGCACCGATGTGTTTTGATGAGGATAAATGCTGACCGCGAGTGCTTCCGAAACTTCATGTGAAGTCGCGCAAGTCTCCAGTGAAGCGAGAGAGAACGGAGTGTTTTGGTTTGATAATCTCTTTCCAAAGAGAGGATCACCGTGAGGATCAACGCTGAGCCGGTGATGGTCATAATCATCCTCAATGTGTGGAGCTGGGTGAAGGGCAACCTCAGGTGTTCGAGGGCCAGTCTGGCGTTCGTGGTCCTCCAATTTGCGGCGGTCCTCCCTCTCGCTAGTTTCCGGCTCCTGGTTCGTCTGTTTCTGGTTCTTCTCGGCTTTCGCCAATGCCTTCCTCAAGGCTTGCGCTTCCATCAGTGCATTGTGAGCCTTCAAACTTTCTGCCGTGAGCGATCCAGCCCTCGAGGTGTTCCTGCTAGTAGGCGCTGAGAGGGATGAAGTCCTCTTTGGGACGACGGGTGGGTAGTCAATCGTCCGCTCATCGGTCGAATCGACCTGGGCTACCGCTCTACTACGAGTGGGACGGGCCTCTACGGAAGGAGCATGCTCCTCGTTCGAGGACGGTTCTGGGGGCGCTGAGCTCAAACTCACACTGCGCTTGGTCCGACGGCTGCTAGTCGACCGAAGGGAGGGTTCCCTAGGTTTCCATGACGACCTTCGATCAGGAACTACAGCCACAGGTATACCTCCTTGCTTCACCACCTCTTTCCGAGCTTTCGCGCTCGCCATGGAATTAACAGTAGCAACGGATGCGTAGCTGTAGTGTCGGCCATCGATGGGGCGTTCAGTGGGATAGGGGCGCCTCCTAGATTCATCATGTCCCGCCGATGAGTTTGGTGCGGAGCTGATCGGGGAAGTGTCCGGGTTAGAGTCTCTCAAGGCCGTATGTTTTCGGACATGCCGCAATGTGCGCCTCCGTTGAGGAACAGGTGCGTCGATAACCGCTCCGACAACCGTCGACACTCCAGATTTGATTGACATGCCCGAGAATCGTCGAAGGTCGCTGGCAGCAAGAGATGTTGTGGGCGAAGATGGAGGGGCAGAATCATCCTTATCAGCGGCAGTGTTGGTAGCAGAAATGTGATTTTCCTTTCGGTCACGGTAGAGATCCATAGCGCGGACAGCTTTAGTGGCGTTGGTAGGCGTCACCAGGCTGTCTTCGATGACCTTTACTGGAGGGGTTCCGCCTGTGCGTGGTGTGGCAGGGTCGGTCTGCAGATACCTCTTCCTCACTCTTACGACTCGTTGAAGATTGTCATCCCACTCCTGGACAACCTCGGTACGGGAACTGTTCATCCTCCACTCGCCATCGAAGGTGAGAGGGCCAGTCTTAGATTTCGGGGTGGAATTCTGGTCCTCAGGAGTGGATTCAGTCGGCGACCTCTGATTCTCGGCTGGTTCCTGTCGCTGCGGAGGCTGTTCAACAGGACCTACGTGTCGAACTGTGCTCTGCGATGTTCTGGTAGACGGGGCCTCGGGTTGCATGAGAGCGCGGTCAGTCTCATCCTCCGAGGTAAAAGGGTCTTCTCGTGCGGTTTTGAACGATTCAGAACGGGAATCCGTTGTTGATTTGGGATTAGAGGCTGTGCGTTCACTTAATAATAAGGCTCGAATTGCCCTAGGACGGGAAGCAGGCTGAGGTGGCGTCACGTCAGGTGTTGGCGGACTCTTTTGATTCGGCGGAGTCGCCGGAGGAGGGGTTGAGATGCTCTCTTCGCTCTCGAATGGACTTTCGACGTAGGTGGGACTAGAAGGCAGTACGGATTGACTACCAGATGAGGTACGGGAGTGAGCAGGAGGTGTTGGCGGCAAGTCAGGGCCACTAGGAATACGGTACGGCTTATGCTTCAAGGTATGGGAAGAGTGAGTGGACACGACAGAGCCTGACTCCCGCGGATCGAAGGCCAGATCACGTTGCGAAGACGGCTCCGGCCAGGCATCGTATGCGAAGGAGGCAGCAGCGTAAGCGCGATCCCTACTCGGACGCGGTAATACCTTATGCCTCTTGAACATTTTTCGTGTCCCATAGAGTTCGGCGGTTGAGTCGCGTTCATAGTGGAGGGAGGGCGGCACCACCGCAGGTGGTTCTTGAAGCGTCGAATCTATCATCGCTGGCATGGGATGTGCTCGCCTTCAACACATGTCGCAATTTATACACTCAAGTGTTACCACTATATATCACTCCTAGCACTCGCATTGCTGGCTCGTCACCGCTAAATATCGTACCCGACTCGACCGTTGATTCTCGATGTGGCGGCGCAGGGTCCTAGAGTTCTATCGGCCGGCGGAACAGGCGTATGGGTCTATTTAAAGGAGAGCGACGAACTGTGTCGAGATAGTCGAGGAATAAAATGCAACTAGCAATCTACCGCGACGGCGAACAATAACGATATGAGACATTCAGCGCGAGCGACCGTCGAGTAAGCGTGGGGGAGGTCGAGGTCGGGGTCAAGGTTGGTGAAAGGAGGTGTTAAGACCAGAATCCAGATATCGTGACCCAGAGCACTGAAGGCTGGTTTGAGCTTAGCCCACCCAGCGACTAATAACCGCCAGAGGCATATACGATAACTGAGACAACGGGGAAGGAGAAATCGTCGTGAAAATTTAGAGCGATCTCAGTCACCAGAGAATAATCAGCCCAAATGAAGAGGTCTCGGGGTATATTTAGGAGGTGCAAATTTGAAAAGGCCTACGACAAGTGACAGGGCAGGGTGGTCATGGAAGGAGCGAGAGACGTCTCAAGGAGAAACTGGAAATGGAAAGAGCAAATGGGGAAGAGGGGGAGAGGTACGAGGGACAGAATGACGACTAGCAGAGAGAGTAGGACCATGAGGGGGATGAGGCTAGGTGTACTTTAACAAGTACAGAAGTACATCCCAGCACTGTGTCCTCTGGGTTCCGGGTACCTTTTATACAATCGTAGGGAGTGAAGAGAGAGGGTCAACCTTTGCTTGTGGGTGGTCAAGTCTGTACAAGTACCGCGTGCAAGTACAAGATGTGTGGGTGGTAGATGATACGACCAACCATACACGTACATTAACAGTAGCCAATTTGAGTTGCAGACGCCGAAAGAACGGAAGGTGGGGAGTGTGTGCCGACGCTGCGAGGCGAGACGGGCTAAAGTCGAAAGAAGAAGCCGGTAAAAAAGAGCACAAGAATGGTCATATTGATGGCTGGGAAATGGAACTGGGGAACAAGCACCTCTAGGATCGGTCCATCCAGCGACCTCCAAGTACGAAGTACTTCCTCCGTACTGCTCTGGAAGCTAGTTTAGTTTAGATATCCACGACTGCCGCCATGAGGTGGGAGGAGAAACATGTCTCTCCTTCAGGTAACGAGACTTTGGAGATGCTCCGGTACTTTGAAGGACAGTATCGAAAGTTACTCTAGGAACTGTGTACATCGAGACACACTTGATGTTGAATGAACGGCAGCGACGCTTCAACTGCACACTACTTCCGTCCGCCTCCAGAAAAATCATTGATCAATATTGAGATCAAAAAACCTCTCTTCTGGCCCACTCGCCCCCGCCGGTCGGGGGGCATCTTGAAGTGGTTGCAGGAATAGGCCCGTTGCAGGTCGAAACAGTCAGCACCCCTTCGGTCGCCAGCGGCCGGATGGTACTTTCACGCCACCCACCAACTCCAACGACTTGCAGCATCTCTTGAAATTGATCGATGGTCTGGTTTCGCACATGGACACTATTGCGCTCGGCACGTTTCCTGCACTACATTAGGAACCCACAAGTACTCGATGTCCTTGCCGATGGGTGGGGGCCGGAACTTGAAAACTGCTCCTCCAGTGAATGAGATGTTGATAGGATCGTTCAACTACTTTTTTTTTCGCTTTGCATAAAAAGTATCAAGCCTGGCTCTGTACGAACTCTCAAATCCACACTCAATCCATCGCATTGAAAAGGGGGGGAGACGAGAAGGACTGTTATCAACGCCGATAGGCAAGCCACATCGTCCAAATCAATTCGCACCAAGATTCAAACCAAGCCGTGGATATTACATCGTCCAGGTCCCGAATGTATGTACTTCGAACTCCCATCCACTCATCATGGACATGGATCTGCTATGCATTGAGCTTCGTGGTTGGAAGATGCCCCAACCACCCCCATGCGGCCATTGAAGTGTCGACCCATGCAGGAGGCTGGTTCCGCCCTCAGACTGGTCAAAGGAATTGTTTCAGCGCCGCCGCCGATTCCCTTAGCAGCCAACAATAGTCCGAGTTGACGCACACAGCAGGTATAAGCAAATTCCTGCGCTGGCGCATCGCCCTTTTTGATGAGATGTAGCCAACACCAGGCGGCCGCGTCGGACTGAGACCTGCTGGTGACCTCGGAAGAGACCTTTTCGAAGCGAACTTTCAGCTATTACGGTATCGCTCTACACAGGTAATCGTTGGCTGTTGCCACTGGCGTCTTGGAAGCAGCGCTTGGCTCGGGATAGCAGTAGCCTACTTCGATTTGTTACCTCTAACGTTGAGGGTGTTCGGGTCCTTTACAAGCATGATGACTGACACTGCTTTTTTCTTGGCTCCCTTGGATGGATCCGCATCTCCGTGCGTAGTCTCCGGAAGAGCGTCAAAACCACGCGGGACTGGCAAGGGATAAAAAAACTTCCGAGCAGCGCGGGCCTAGCTCTGACCGGCTCCACGCTCCCGGGGGAAAGAAAAGAGGAAACCGTCAATCCCTTGCCCATTGGCAACGTCCCGTGAGTGTCTCGGATCACTTCAAATTGATTCGATATTGATCAAGAACAGGGCACGGTCTTATTGGGCAATGGCGTCGATGAAAGGAGTCTTGAACAAACTTGCTGGCGTATGCGGTAGAGCCAAACCTCATGCCTTCTAGAACGTGGCACACCCTGGCAGGATAAAGCTTCTTTTGACAAGCTCACGGCCTACCTATAGAAGCGCACCCGCCCTCGTACTCGGCGCGACTGCCGATGTGGTTGACTTGGCCATGTAACACGGAGTCCAGCTTACAAAGACTGCCACCACTTGCTGCCCTGTAACAATAGCAATCGCAAGCGGACAGCGAGCCATGCTGGCGTCTTGCCCGAAAGTGGCGAGGGACGACTAGATTGAGAAGCTCCTCGCCTTATTCATGCACCGCGAGCCAGGGATACTGACAGATAGTCCTTCCGTGCTGTCCATTTAAGACAAGCTGCATGAGAGTTTGCTCCCCGATTCCGCCAGTCCTCCTGTGGCCGACCGGTAGAAGATGCTGTATGACACTTCTCGATTCGCCATCTAGGTGCTGTTTTGCTACCCTTGCGTTCAGAATATGCATCTTTGGAATTTAGTACCACGGGGTAACGCGTCCCAGGTCCATCCTCGACGATGGGCATTTGGAGCAGTGCTCCATGGATTGACCCCCCCTTGCTAAATTCAGAGTAAGCCCAATCGACTACTTCCGTGGCGTTGCTAACATTTGAAAAATATTTTGCCATTGGCAATTTCTTGAGTCGAGTCGAACGAAACTTGACTCCAGCGTTGAACTCTTCGAATGGTTTCTCAGTTCGCGGGAACTTGCGAACAACGTCACGACCCCGCGACCCCGCGCCGAAACAAACTTGGCAGTTGCTCCTCGCCTCAAGCCTGACTGTCCTCCAGACACTGAGACAGACACACGTTGCGTCCAAGCACACCGTAACTAAAAATCAATTCAATATAGTCGATATTCTATCCCAGATCTCTGGAACCTGTTAGAGGAGAAACAATAGCTATATCAATCAATGATTTTTAGGTGGATTATGTACATTCGCCCGAGTTGTTCCAACCCTCGAAGTCCAAGAGTCGAAGAGAATAGCGGGGTAAACTCCTCTTCATTATTGTGATGGCTGGTTCCTCCCCCTTTTGGTGGGGTCAGAGAAGGTGACCCCTGGCAAAGCATGTTCATCCTCAAGCCACAGTCGCAACCGCCAGGGTCTATTTTCATGTTTATTCCTTCTTGGGCAAGATCCAAGGAGAATATCCGTGTAAGGGGATATTGAATCTACAAAGTATCCAAAACAAAACAAACCGTCAATTCAATCTGTCGTTGATCCTCACCGACTGTGTTACCACCCCGAGACCAGTCTGTAACCAGCTCCAGCTCTGCCCCTCACCACACCATCCTTCGTACATACCATCCAACTCAGTCTCTGAAGCTCACCGAAGTCGCCGGCCGGATATCGTATCAATCCATTGATCCACTTCTACGTCGCCTTCCTCAAACACCCTAGGCTCCTGCTTCTCTAAACTAAAGCACAAGTCGATAATTCTCAACCCAAACTGAGAACATGGCCGGAATCCCAATTATCGACTCTCACATCCACCTCTACCCAGAGGCCGAGATGCCTACTTTAGCTTGGCTAAAGCCGGACCATCCTCTCGCAAGTGAGCATTCTGTTACCGAATATGCCTCTGCCGCGGGCTCTTGCAAGTCTCTAAAGGGTTATATCCTTGTCGAGACCGATCGGAAGCAACAGCTCACCGAGGAGGGATGGAAGTATCCGCTGGTTGAGGTAGCTTGGATGAGCCGAGTAGCGACTGGGAATGCGCTCGAGGAAGAGGACTTTACCCCTGAAGATGCGAAGAAGTGCCTGGCCATCATTCCCTGGGCACCCGTGCCGAGTGGACCAGAGGCGCTGGAAAAGTATCTAGCGAAGGTCGAGGAGGCTGCCGGCGATGCTTGGGGAAAGGTGAAGGGATTCCGTTATCTGCTGCAAGACAAGCCTGGTGGAACGATGTTGACCGAGGAGTTCGTTGGGGGCATCAAGTACCTTGGCAAGAGAGGATTCATCTTCGAGGTTGGTGTGGACCAACACCGAAGGGGAAAGAAGCAGTTGGACGAGCTGGTGGAGTTGATCAGCCGCGCCCATGAAGACGTTCCAGACGAAGAGAAGGTGACTTTCATCATCAGTAAGTTTCTTCGCACGCATATTCCCCCCCACCCCCCGGTCCCCATTTCAAGAGCTCCGTTTGAACTGACTCTTCTAGACCACATGTGCAAGCCAGACCTCACCATCTATAACTTGTCTGACAAAGGCTTCACAAACTGGCGCACCGCCATCTACACGCTCAGCCGATGCGAGAAAACCTTCATACAGCTCAGCGGCGGCTTCTCTGAGATGACCGACTCTCTCAAAAACCAGTCACCGGATGAGATTTTTGAAGCTATTTTCCCCTGGTTCGGCATCCTTCTGGCCACCATTGGTGCCGAGAAGCTTATTTTTGGAAGCGACTGGCCCATCTCCACGGTCGGTGTCGAAGGAAATGCCTGGGAAAAGTGGCACGGAGTCGTCAACAGGATGTGCTATATGGCGTCCTTGACTGAGGAGAAGCAGAAGCTGCTTTATGCTGAAAACGCAATTAAGGCGTTCAATCTTGATGTCTAAAGTAATGAATACGGAACAAAAGATATTTTTTTTCGGAGGAGTATATCTAAAACTACCGGTACACCTGGGAGACAGAAGCCCTCGAAATTAGGGCAAGCACACACATGGACTCGAGTAAAAGGTCGAGTAATATGCGTTAAGGAATTTAGACCACTCTGTGTTGGCTTCTCTAGTGACGTCCGCAGTTACGTAGTCCAGACACTCCTTAGATATCGCTCACTGATTTTGTCTCATCCTCCCACCACGAGGCAAACGTTCTCAACCTCTCAGCCCTTTCCTTAGCCAGCTTCCTTCCGGTCTCCGTCTTCATCATGCCTTCAAGAAGAAGTAACTTCTCATCAAAATGATCTAAAGTGTCCCCCAAAGTGCGACCCTTGGCTCCGCCAAAAGCAAAGGTCCTGCCTATGCCCACGGCACCGATGGCATCTAGCCGGTCCGCGTCCTGCACGATGGCGACTGCGATAGAATTCGACCTGAAAATTAGCTTCAATATACTCAACCACCCACTGGCAGATTACACTCTGGGATTCCACTCTTATGAGGTTCTTCCACAGGGCAAACTAGCAGGTCGTCGAAAGGAAGGTAAGAACGCACGCTCAGGGTAAATCGCAATCAATCTCTTCACCCTCTCCGGATCTTTCACCTCGCTCGAATAGCTCACTCCAAGGCAAATCGCCTGCACCCTATCGCCAAGCTCCTCATCGGCGCCGAATCTTAAGAGCACTTCTCGTACCATGGTCTCGGGATTCTCTCCTTCACGAAGGTACTTCTTGTCGCCGACGTCGTGAAGCAGCGCGGAGAGGGTGACGACAGAGACATCGGTTGGATTCTCGGGAGACGACTCGGTTGATTGGATTATCTTGGCGAGGTGGACAACGCGCTTGATGTGGTTGAAGTCGTGGGATCCGTCGTAGTTGGACATGTAGGTGCGGACGTAGTCTGTGACCTTGGGGATGAGAGAGTCGGGGATGCCAGGGCCAGCTGATGCCATCTTGATAGATTGGTGTAAGAGAATGCCAGGGAAGGTGGCCTCTTTAGCACGTAGGTAATCTGGAAGACTGAGCGCAAAATATTCAGTCAAGAAGACATATCAACGCCAGATTTACGGAGTCTTGGATAACTAGGGAACACACACAATTTATCAGCCAAAACTGGCAGATCCACTAAGATCTCTTCCAAGGTCTCAATCTGAGGCTCCCGCTTTCATTAATCTTGGGGGTAGAATGTGTTGTGTGTCAAAGCCTTCGCCTTCTTCTGCTCTTAATCTCGAAATCGCCAGAGTTGTTGGGAGGGGAATCTTCACACAACTCCGAGAGCAGTGATAATAGTAGTGTCCCGACAGCCTGGCAACGACGATCCCGCACTTCTAAATCAGAACACTCAACTCCACCCATGGCTAAAACATCCTAAAGAACTTAGAGAGATAGGGTATCTTGACTACTTTAACATGGATTAGGAAAAAGACAGTCACAGAGACATTTCTCGATCCGCCCGCCTCAAGAAGATATTTGGTGACCGGACCACGTGATCTCACTCTTTTCCAACACCTGCCCGAACCAAGCGGAGACAGCGTCTCAATCTGATCAAGGGCAACAACACCGAGCCAAAGCCAATGTCGATTTCTTCTTTCAATGTAAGCTGACTTGTATGCATCCGTCCCATTTCGATTCATCACCGATCACAAGATGCCGCCTACCGCGAGATCCCTCGCCACTTAGATTGCGATGAAGAATTCCGGGTCCCACAGAGTCGCATAACCGAGCGACACCTCTCATCTCTCGCTATCCTTGTGACCAGAGCGTACATAGCCGCCGACAGCTCACCTCACTCACTTACGCAGTCCACTGCATGCAACCAACCGGAATGCTCGCCCATCGGCACTTTTAGTGCCTTCCGAATTTTGTTGCTCCGTCGCCCACTGCTTACGGAGTAAAAAAACCCGTGTGGGGATGCTGCTGAAGAATTTGTTCTCGCTCGCTTGGATAAAAGTAAAAAAAGGTGGGTAGGAAAATGCAGGTGGGAGGGGGGCATATGGAACCCGGATCGCTGATCGTGTATGCGATCCTTCTGGGTTCTAATGCGTCTGGCGGCGCTTAATTCACTGATCCTGGGGGCCGATTCGGTTGAGGTGCAGAATTTGGTTGATGCAGGCTCGGAGGTGATCATGACAGGGTCAATGGGTCATGAACTATTGCATGTAGGCTTGGACTCATGGATGGATGAGGGTCCATCGTCAATGATATCTGGGTCTTGAACTTTACTCAATGGAGTAGTATTCTGCATCGCTCGCATGGGTAGGCTAATCGTCCAGCCGCGATTGACGAAGACGAGTTAGGAGTTGCCTTTCTTGGGTAGTCCGTGTTGATTATCCCGACTCCAGAGGCACAACGATGTCAGGATTGCTAGGTCGTTCCATGGCTGAGTTGAGAAAATGCGTCTCAAGAAAGGTCAAGACTGCCCTCGATTTCAAGTGCCATCTTCGAACCTACAGCGACTGTATGGGCAAATGAAAAGTTCCAATGGCCAAGTCGCTATCCCGCCACGAATTACATTCAACATTCCAGACCACATATTTGGTCACCAGAGGTCATGATCATGTTCGTTTGAACTGTAATTGATGCAGACGCAATCTGACAATGGCCAGGCATCCCTTGATGAACCCAGTAAGGGCAGGGTTTATGTTCTTTGTCGGTAGAGGATTACTTCGTTTAGAGCAGTGAATGAATCGCATGAAAAGGCTTCGTACCCACATCAATCACTATCACCAATTGATGATTCTCCTTCTTCTTCGCGGGCTTCCATTGGCCCTGTCCATCCCACCTCATTGATGCGGACTTGGACAGGACAAACAGATGGAAAAGAGTTAAGCTTTACGAAGTACTACGGCAAGCACATCTGTACAAGTACGAAGTACTTCTCAGCGTGCTTCGACCTGGGCACCCGGCTGGGGCCTCTCATTGGTCAAAACCGCATTCTCCCTCACTGTGTGACGGCGCATTCAGTGTGAGTGGGACTGGCGCGACCAGGGCGACCACAGACTACAGCCAATGAGAACATCGCGTTAGACGCTCATTTAAACAAAAATAGGCATCGGGTGTGGATTCTCATTGGCTGGCTTGCATCACCCTGCTTAACCGCCAGACTCGGCACTACTGCACGCGGGCCAAGAAGAAGGTGGTGGTTCTGCAAGTCTTCCAGTCCATCCACGTCCTGCTTTCTCACTTTCTCGCGCATCCGAATGACGAAGTACGTAGTCCGGTCACGAAAAGGGTACACAGGAGAAGCAGGCTTGCTTTCCCGTCCACCATTAGGTAGGGGAGGACCGACCGACGTGTCCAGCATGATCATGATGATTGAGCAGACGAAGAGACCCCCCGCGGAATGATAATGTCTTTTCCCCACTCTTTAACGCTTTATGAACTTCTTTCTCGAAACCGAGAGCCCTATTCGCATAAGTAGCCATCGTGCTGGACGGCTCGCCAGGCAGAACTTCGTATTTCCCTTGCCCCTCGCCAGGAAAGCGACCACTACCACAGCTGGGCCAAGCGTTGAAGTATCTAGGATGTAATTACATCGACTGCCGTCTGACAGTCTACATCGCAGGCAGATTTGGCCGAGGGGCACAGAGGTACCATTCCCAGTCTCTGTAAGGGAACTGCGGAGTAGGAAGTACGTACAAGTAGTACTAGTACTCATAGGACCTGGTAGTGGTGTTTCCTTCAGCCGTGTCCGTCCACCAAAGGGTGCTCGCATTGTTATTTCGCACTGCAACCTGTTCCAATATGTGATAGCGGTTGCTTCGTTATCCACATGCAGGCTTCTGCATGCACGCATACCACCCTCATTGGACGAATGTTCTGTTCCTTTCCTGGCATCCCTGGACTTTCTCGCACCCATGAACCGGTCTCTTCCAAGGTCGCTCCCCCTCTCCATTCCGTCGTCCGAAATGGCCTCGCCCTGTGTGGCCATCGATTTGTATATAGATGGCCGCCACACTCCGCCCCCAATTATTTCTCCTTTCTCTTTTTCTTCTCCAGCAAGAAATTCAACCATCTTAATCAGTTTTTGCCTTTTCCTCCTTTACACCTCTTTCTTTGTTTTGCCTTTTGCTTCGTGGGCTGGTCTCACTCTTAATCATAAAAAATCACAAATCAATATCGCACTTACACTTACATTCCCCCTGTTTATACACACCACCGCAAGTTTCAAGCTCACTGGTTGACTTGAGACTCTAATACAAGGAAAGCAAACTGGTTTTGTCTTGCTCAGCAAACGTCTCCTAAAAATAATCAATTCCTTTTCGAGTTTCGTTGGCATCACTCTCTTTTTCAATTTTTGGACCTTCAAGTACCGAAACAATCACACTTAATCAAGCCAAAATGTCGTCCACTCAACTCAGCTTCTCGCTCCGCGTCTCCTCCGGCGTCAAGTCCGTCCATCTTTTGGGCTCCTGGGACAACTACGCCGGACAGCTCCCGCTCTCGAAGGACAAGACCTCCAGCAAGTCTGGCTCTTGGAAGGGTACTTTCCGCTTCTCCAGCTCTACCCTCAAGTCCGGTCAGCGCTACTGGTACTACTACATCATCGATGGCTACCACGTCTCCCACAACCCGTCGGTTGAATCCACCGTCGAGCCCACCACTGGCCGCTCTCTCAACATCCTTGACATTCCCAAGGGCTCCAGCAGCAAGTCCTCTTCCTCAAGCAAGTCTTCTTCGAGCAAGTCTTCCTCGTCCTCCAGCAAGTCCTCCAGCAGGTCCTCCAGCAAGTCTTCCTCCAGCAGCAGGAGCTCTTCTTCTTCCTCCAAGAGCTCTTCCCGCAGCCGGTCCTCCTCTGGTGATATCCCCAAGGGCCGCCCGCTCTCCGTCTCCCAGATCAAGGCTCCCAGGCCCGTCAATCCCAGTGCTACCCGCACCATTCTGGACTACGACGAGGATATGGATGACCTCGCTACTCGCTTCAACGCTGCTGACATCGAGGATTCTGATTTCGAGTCTTCTGATGAGGACTCCGACGTTAGCTACCGCTCCAGCCCTTCGAGCGACGTCTCCGGCTACAGCACTCCCCTCTCGGACTGCTCCACCTGCTCCTGCGAGCGCTATGGCATCACCCGCAAGGGCGAGCGCGTCCGCCTCGACTGCGGTGGTTCCCGCTGCGGCTACGATGACTCCTCCTGCTCCGACTCCGAGGAGGAGTACGTTAGCAACAACTCTCGCCGCAACGGTGTTGTCATGCGCGGGTAAATGCCTAGCCCTGACTTGCCAAGCACATTCCGGAATGTCTTTGATGTCGCTTTTTTCTTCGATGATGACTACATTCTTTTCTTCATGACGCTATAGTCTTTTTTTTAATGAAGCTGCCCTTACGACATTCATTACCCCCCTCCCGAGTTGGTCATGTTGTTTCTCTTCTTCGATAGCATGGTCGTGCCCCGGACGCTTCGAGGTCCCGGCACGCCAACTCGGCGAGTCCCTTGATGTTGGTTGTTTTACATGCAACAGTCAAGCCCCCTTCCTGCATCCCGTCCCCAGAGGAGAATGCGCGGTTGAGAGCCAATACAAGCATGCGAAGGCTGGTTCCTTCGTGCGCGTGGATCTCCCCCTTCATTTCCTCGTCCAAAATGGGTCGATGCCTACGACCTGCCCCGGTCGGAATGGGAACTTCCCATCTCGGCCGCTCCGGCAGAAGCACTGGTTTCTTTTCGTGTTCCTGCCATTCGACAAGTTTTTGGAAGCTTTCTCAGAAGCAAGAACGTTGATGCATCCATCGACGGGATTTGCTTGAGAAACCCTGTATTCCAGTCGAAGTTGTTGTGGCCTTGGATTCTCTGTATCTGAGCCAGCCACCATGTGAGGAGGATTGGGTGTAAATGTTCAAGCAGATAGTATACCCGGCGAATAGAGGCCACTGGAATCTATTCAAGAGAACTGTCCTAACTGAATCGTTTTGTGTCATCCATTGTGCTTGTGCTTTCCCTCGGAATCGTAAACCTCTTTGAGAACCAGAACTTGCTCCCTTTAGTGCCTATCCCTATCCCTATCTCTATCCCTTGCCTCGAAGCCAATGCTTCTATCCAGGCCAGATTATTCTCTTACATCCAGCTTGAAAAGTAAATCCGACAGAGTCCAAGTACTGGCTACCTGTAGACAACAGAAACTAAATGATGTCTAGTAGTCTTTCCGGATATGAGCGAAGTATGTTCTATTACAAGTTAAGTTAACAAGAAAAGGGCATTACACGCCGAATGCCCCTGCCAAAGCAAAACTCCAATCCCAACATCCAAACAAGCAAAGGGAAGAGAAAAGAACAGCGCATTTCCACCCTCGGCTAAACAAGCAAGGCAGCAACGAATCCCAAGAAAGCCACAATTCCTCCCGCCCTAACAACTTCCGCGCCAGCCGGCACCGCCGAAAAAGTAGAGCTCGGCCTCGACGTAACAGTCGAGTTCCCACCTCCGCCAGGACCCCTGCCGGTGGTGGTCGGAGCTCCCCCGGGGGGGCCAGATCGAGTGGCGGTGGTCATTCCTTCACCTGGTGGTCCACCGGGAGCGCCGGAGCGGGTGGGTCGCTCGCCGCCTTCGCCGCTCGTAGGGCCGGGGCGTCCGGAACCACTTTCGGTGGGGCGACCGCCTCCCGGGCCGTTGGGACCTCCACCTGGGGCAGAAGTGGGGGCTGGGCCGGGACCACCACCGCCTCCGCCGCCGCCTTCAGAGGGTGGGGGGCCGGGAGGTTGGCGGGGAGGTTCTTCACCATCGCCACCTCCGGGACCTCCGGGAGCGCCACCTCCCGGAGCGCCACCTCCCGGAGCACCACCTCCAGGAGCACCTCCACCAGGAGCACCACCACCAGGAGCACCACCACCAGGAGCACCTCCACCAGGAGCACCTCCACCCGGAGCACCGCCTCCGGGAGCACCAGTGGGAGCGGGGCCACCAGAACTAGGCCTATCAGGCTGTTGAGGACGGCCAGGGGTACAGACGGAGGAGTCAAGCGTAAAAGAAGACACCGAGTTGAAGACGACACACTGGGTCAAGTGTTAGAACCCCATAAGTTTGGCTGTTCAGCAAAGCCGCAGCAGGAAAAAGAAGGAGACTTACATCTCTCTCGCAACCGGCATCTCCGGATTGGGCAGAGGTCTGGTAGCACTGGGAAACCTCAGCGGGTTCTACGCCCTGGCTGATGAGAGCATCTCTGCAGCGGGACACTGTGCCCACGCCTGGTCCAGTGCACTGGATTATGGACTCGGTAGCCAGGGAGCCGCCGTCACAGAAAGCTTGCCCGGCATCTGTGCATGCGTCACTAGGGAACGTGTAAGTGAAACGTTTGTATGGAAAGGGGGCAGAAGCCACGAGTTAGGGAGGGTCTTACAAGTTCTGAGCCACGACGGTTGTGGCCAGAGCAAGGACGGCAAGGGACTTCATGGCGAACAGTATTAGGATTAAGTAGGAGGTGTGGTCTTTCCGTAGCCAGTACGAATATATTGTCTTCCTAACGAGTGTCGGACCCCAGGTCGAATTCACCCTGTAACGAGATTGGGCTGACCGGAAGGAAGGGATATGGGCTCTCTCTTGGTTCTTTATATAGTCATTTCCCATCTCAGAAAGCCATGCTAAGAGACCAAAAGAATATCCTTACGTTTCACTCTGCCGGTTCGCCTTGCTAAAGATCTCCGCAGTTTGATCCAATGTCGCGAGACAAGCCCGGATCGCTCCTCGACCTTCTCTCAGCCCAGGGAGCCAGCGCATTCTGAAGAGACACCAGATTCTCTTCTCTCCCCCGCAGATCGTTTGAGCCATTATCTCGCCCTGGTTCAATGACAAGCATGCCCGCTAATATAAGCTATCATGTCGACGGCGATCAGGGACGCAGTCTGCAGGTAAGCATAAACCGGGCTTTCCGCAAGCGTGCAGCCTACCAAAGCTGAGCAGCACACCACGGACCACAGAAATCTTCTTTTTTTTTTCTTCCTTGGCTTGGGTAGATCATTCAGTGGCTTATTGGAAACGGATATCAAGAGGGGAAGAGCTCGCTTCAGCGTGATGGATCGACATCAACATGCTTACCGGGTCAGGCATAAAGCATTCGGCGGTTAAATTTGAAGATGTTGCCAGGTGCGTGCTATTTTCCCCTTGTAGAGGAGACTGGTAGGCGTTTCAGCGTGCCTGGGCGAGGACAAGGACCGGGATTTGATGACCTCTGCCCTTGATGATAATAATCATTACGAGAGAGGCAGGAGGCCAGGATTTGAGAAACGGACGTTATCCCAACCTGGATTGAAGAAACTGGAAACAAAGCAAGGGCCCGGCGTTTACAGAACATGTTGTCGCTGCAGGCGATGGAAGGCATTGACGGCATGGGGCCGGCTTCCGAAGCAAGTTTGACATTGTGCAATGTTGGAATGTTGCATTACCGGATTGAAACTCTAAATCTAGATATGCTCGATGTTCCCTTCGTTCATTCTTCCGGCCTACAAAGTAAGGTGAACAGGAATATCGGAGGTGTATGCCTGCGCCTGTTGTGTTGGTGGAACGTGGGGTTACACTCCCATGTCCGTTCATCAGACGATGATGTTATTTTAACATTTTCTCATCGTCCTAATGACTAAATTCTAGGCCTAGTGATGGATGTGCATGCTCCGAGACAGGCTCCGGCAGTTGATGGCAATGCCGAAAGGTCTGTTCTCGATGTCGGGCGTTGGTGGCTTGGCTGTGTCAAGCATCAACATCGTGGGGATCGATGCGACGTGCCCAGGATACCAGCAACCGATACATCAAACAAACAGCAGCTGGCTATTGTCAAGAGCAAACCTACGAAGTCATGCAGCTGTAGCATTCTTGTACCTTGTTCATGTTGAAAAGCTGAGTTCGCGCGGGAGTTGCTTCGTGGTGCTTCAAGGCCCCCCCCGGGGAGGCTGGCGGGAGGTGAGACGTGAACCATCACTTGGGTCCCTGGGCCCGAGTTTCATCATCCACCTGCAATCTCCTGGTCAGCCCAGTCTTCTTTTCGTCATATTAGAATAGTAATACCCTCGGAAATAGACTCAACGGATTCTAAGTCTACAGTTTCATAATTTGACAGCTCGAATCTTTCGAAAGAGATGGCTTAAATCCAATGCCGCAGAGCCATGAAGATGAGCTCGAATTTATTCTCGCTCCAGCTCAAGCTACGGATCCGATCCACCCAGCCCGGATTTCTCGCCTTTCGCAGATCCCACAAGCGATGTCTTCATAGTTCTAATATCATCTCCGCTACCAAGAGAAGAGTCCGACGAAACATAGAATCTGAGAAAAGAAGCGGACAGAATAGAAGAAATAAACCGCACAATTTGTCCTTGCATAAAAGGCGAGCTAGTGCAGCACGGGAATGCCCAAGCGACTGGACTGGCGAGCTAAAACAAAACAAAAGTATGGATTTACGAAGAGGATGCTGGAAGCCCTGCCAAATCGCTTCAGAGCCACGGCAGGCCGATCACTCATGCCTCGGTCTGGGGACTCCACGGAGCCCAAGTGTTTCTTCGTTGTGAATCCCCCGTGTCTTGTTGCCCGCTCTCGAGCCGGGAATTTTATTTTCATACCTGGGGATGCGGGAAAAGAGAAGAAGATATTCGATACGCAGAAGTGATCGACAGAATGTTGCGAGATATTCATCCGAAGCTCAACTCAAGGGGCAAACAAAACGGAATAGCAATGATGCCTTTGATATTCCAAACCTAGCTCGTCAGCGCGATAAGTAATATATTGAGCTTTCCTTCAGCTTCACCATGGGTATCATTGATTTTCTCGCTCGTTCCTCGCTCTATAATACGAAAAGAAGAAAGAAAACAGAACAGTAGATGGAAATAGCTGCATAAGCATGATTCAATCATGGTAAATTTCGACGATAGCAAATAAACACCAAAACTCCCCAACACAATGCTGATGATGGCCTATCCTGTGTTGTCTCTCTTACAGAGCACTCTCCACTATTGCTAGTCTCGGATGATGGAACTCGACATCGTGCTCAATCCCATCCGAGTATGATCTAGTTAGTATATTCTAATTGCCGTCAATGAATCCTAACCGTAAACCGTTTCAACCGATCCCTTAACTCCAAGAAATGCTTCGTATCCTATGCCCCCATATTATATCCCGGACGATTATGACATGAGAACAGAAAAGACAACTGCTATGCCCAACGCAATTAGTGCAGGCGCCGTCACGCCGGCACTGTCGCTCGTAACCCTTCCGCAGCACGACCCGTTGTAAGTAACGTTGTTATACTTGGCGGCCACCCTAAACACCGAGCCGTCGGGGTTGCCAAAGTTGTAGTAGTCGACGTTGAGAATATTGGGTGGGCGACCCCACGAGTTGACACATTGCGCTGTCGAATTGCCCAGGCTACCTTCGCCCGTCTCGCCGTTGGTCACGTTCAGCAGCGACACGGCGGGCACGAGGATCGAGGCGCCAAAGAGGTTGAATTCTGCGTTGAGGTTGTGATTGAGGAGGTAAAGCCTGTTCGTGGCGGATTCGGCGGAGAGGTCTGGCGGACGCTGGACGACGCAGGGGAAGGCTCGATCAATGGGGTCGAAGGGCGACTCCCACATCTGGGAGAACTCGTCGAGGAGCCACGGATATTCCGTCGGATTCGCCTCGTAGTCCATGAACATGACCACCCGTTTTCCCTTCAGAATCATCTCGGAAAGCGTAGGCCAGTCGTCGAGCGCCATGGGTACGAACGGCGGGCGGTACGTGTACTTGAGGATGCCGCTCGCTTCGATGTAGGGCGCGTATAAGTCGGCCTTGGAATAGTTACCATTGCCAAGCAATATGGTAACGACATCGTAGGGGTGATTGTCAACCCACTGCCGCACCGTAGTTAACCAGTCGGTAATAGGACCGGCGTCGAGCATGTCGCATGAGCTGTGGCAAAAGTGCGGTACGTTGCTGCCATCGGTGGGCCATTGCATCTGAGCCTGGAGGAAGCGCACGCCGTCGTTGAGCTGTTGAATGACGTCGAGCTGCTGGTTCGCCGCGGAGCTCCCTTTCCGCACGAAGGGCGAATTGTGGCATCCTACGACGGTGATGTTGCTATACTTGCGCTCGCAGAACTCGACGTAGTTGTTACACGGTTGGGTGTTTGTTGGCTGCGCACCAGTTTCCGTCGCCGAGATGTTGCTCGCAATGGTCGTGGAGATGGACCCCGTGAAAGTTACCGTGCCTTCGGATTCGGAGCTGCTCTCTTGTGGCAGTGTTATTTTGCCCGAATAACTCACGTAGACACCTGTCGGGGTGTCGGTGGGTAATGTTTTTGTTCCGACGAGAATGGTGACGTCTTTCTTCTCGCTGCTCTGTTCGGCTCTTAGGGCGGCTGCAGCCTCACTGGCGCTAGTGCTCGAACTCGCCGAGGAACTCGACAGCACGGCCTGGGAGAGGACAAGGGCATTGTGCGAGAGGATGAGGCCCAGAAAGCACAGCCGAGTGAACCGAGTGAGCCGGGATACCCCAAGGGAATCGCGCATGTTTCCTGTCGACAGAAATGGAACAAGCTCAGGTTGTCGGAAGCTTCTTTGTGAAGCGGGCTGTTCGAGAATTCCAGAAGATAATATAAATATCTGTTCTGGGAAGCAGCCCCCAGCAACGGTGGATCCGAATTAGCGTACGTCACGTACGTCACTCCTTTCCCAACACAGTGCTACAGTCCGTCTCGCCAAGGAACTGAAAGACAAAGGAGTAAAAGAAAAGGGGAAGACGAGAGAGAGAAGGCCTGACTGATGACTGGAAGGGCACTTTTGTAGGAAAAAAAAATTAGTTCGGAAGGGAGGAAATAGAGAATGCAGACAAGGTCCGGAGGAGAAACGGCTGTCGAGTTCGAGGCAAGCACCAAAAGGCTGGAGCTAATGGCGACTTGGTTGAATGAGCGTGGAAAGAGGAGAGAGCTTGAGCCGTCTTGAACATGGCTCGATAGGGAAAATGCAAGAAACAAGAGGCCCTGGTGATCCAGTCAGGCGGAGCTCTGTTTGTGTTTGGAATCACCAAGTAGTGTATAAAGAAATGAGGGAATGTGATGCGAAGGGTGGTGGGGAACAGGTGATCTCCTCGATCAGCCCTACTTGTAAGGGAGAAATAAGAAGAAGGGGAAACAATGTGCTATTTCACATTGACGACCTTGATCTCGAGGTAATCGGAGACTAGTTCACTGGCCCAGAAATAGAATGTGAGAAGAAGGGAAAAAATGACTTGAGGAATGCGGCAAGTACTATGACAGGCACACCCTGACCGGATCCCCGTCATCTCGCTGGTGTTTCCAGTTTCTTGTCGGTGTCTCCTGGCCTGTCATTGTCCGGTGCCGAGCCCGGTTTGTCGCCAAGCGAGCCGGTTTCCGTGACTGGCGCATCGCCCAACTTGGGCCGTGGACCAATCTACACGCGCTCACTCCCATAGCAGAATAACAAACCAGCAGTTCTTATTCTGAATCTGCACAATCTATCATGTATCGTATCCACAAGGAAAGGAAAGGAATTGAGGCTGAGTACTCTTCACAGGTGAGCATTACTTCGTACTTTGAGATGACACCAGTGTTACAGTGAGGCAGTGTTTGATGTACTTCGTAATTTCCATCCCAGTACGATCTTGGGAGCCGCATTTCCGGTGAGAGTGGACCAAGAACTGGTAAGGCATCTACGAAGTACTCAGAAGGCTTCTACCCTAAAAGAAACGGGGAGAAAAAAAAATAAGAAGAAAAAGAAAGAAAAACAAAACAAAACAAAATGGCGCCGAGGAAAGGTGGATACGAGGTTGGACGATACGGAAACCCAAGAAACCGGTCCCCCAATGCCAATACTTTGTAGGGCTCCAGTGCTTGCGCGTCCACTATCAAAGTCTATCACAGAGTTGCAGCATTGTTAGTCCATCCCGCACGACCTCAGCTTCGATGGATCTAAACTAGGCAAAGGGTCCCGCGAAACTTTCCTTTCAAATTTCTGGACCCCTTCAATGGATCAATGATAGTCGGTGCTCGTCCCCAAAGTGGCTCTGTTTAAACGCTTAGCTTCTAGGCATCAAAATTAACTGGCTCCTGGCTCCTGGCTCCCTCTGCCTCCTGAACAATAAGAGCAACATCAATCCTCGCAGGAAGTACAATTCGCACGCTACTTCATAGCGCCTGGCGGAGGCAGCAGCGCCTGTTTCGGGGAATTTAGGCCTGAATTCCTGGCCAACCAAGTTCGTCTGGACCAACCAGTCCCGACCCATTGTTCCCTGCTCCAACTGCGGCGACTCGCCCATCCTATCTTAGGAACAGCTCAGCGCGGATCGTCGGTTGGGATGGATGGACATCATCGGTGCCGGCGCCATTTCTCCACCAGCCCCACAGATGCCTCGTACTCATCCCAGCTCGATTTCAAAGTTTCCTCCAGTCAATTCGCCTACTTCGTAATCCTGTCCAAGTGTGTTATCCTTGAAGTGCGTAGCATACGTCGTTAGACATTCGATTCCTGATTCCATTTCTCCCTCAGGGCTGGGAGCGCTGCCGTGTTCCGAGTTTGTGTCGATTGGTTCACAGAGCTTGCTGCGACATCGTACAAGTACTGAGGTAGAGTTCGAGCCGCTCACCTCAAAAACTGCGGTGGTCAAAACCGTCAATACTCCACAACTTCGTGCCAGCATGAAGTATTAGGATCTGTGCCCAAACAAGATTGAACCATTGAACATCGAACTGATCAAATGTACCTTTGCAATCGACTTGGAACAATGATAACAGAAGAGCCCCGCTGACTCAGCCCCCTGCCTTCAATGTTCCTGTCCATCCCAACAATGAATTGAAGCTTCGACTCTTCGAGCATCCTCGTCCAGTGAATCGTCACTCATTCAACCTGCTTGACGCAGAAGCGCCTCTCCCTCGCCTGACCAGACGCCGTCAACAACCAACGGTCCCTCTAGGTCACAAGGTAGGCCGAGCGTCACCCTCGCACCCACAATCCTGGGAGCCTCTGAGACCATCGACTGCATGAGTCCGCGCCTATGGAAACACAAGCCTGCTGACATCGCACCCACTCTGCATTCGATGTCGCTCCCGTGAGCCAGGCGACCACCCTCGCTCTCGCCCAAGGATTGCCTACCTTCCCTTCTTATCCATGAAGTACAGAGTAGAGACTCATACATACCCATCATTGATCACATTGCTATTCTGGTCAGCCTTGTTTCTATTTTACTAAACGGCCCATTGACGAATGACCTCTGGATCCGAGCACCTGTTCAAATTTAGACCCCGTTCGCGCAAGACCCTGGTCCCGCACCTCCTTGATTGCGAAGAGTCTCAAAGTCTTTTTTTGATCGATCCAAGCTCCTCTGTCTTAAGGCTGGAAAGCTATACAATAGAACTTGAGATTAGCCATTCAGAGAAGACCGCGTCGATGCGGTTTCTTCTTGTTCTTTGAGCTCTCTTTTTTTTTTTTTTTTTTTCGTTTGGACCTCTTATACAACCAGTTTTGTCTATGTCTTGATATCAACGCCGCGCCTCCTTTCAGGTAAAGGACAAGGTCTTGGAGCTCCAGCTCAAAACTCTCCGCACACGACAATCTATTGTTCCTCTCGACGACTTCTTACTACCGTCTGATCCTTGCCGCACACGATAACCTCCGTCTCCCAAGTCTACCATGACGGACCACCGGAGAAATGCCGTCTACGTCGCCTCTAGCAGCTATTTTATTTCTGTAATATTCCTCATCCTCGTCATCATCGGCAACACGAGCGACAAGGCTGTCCTGAGAGACATCTTCTTCTTCAAGCTCCAGGTGGCCAACGTAATCCCTCTGGATGCTCCAAATGCTGGCCTCCTCAACTCCGTCGCCCGGAGTCTGGGGCTCCATGACTTTTATCAAGTCGGGCTCTGGAACTTTTGCGAGGGCTACAACGACGAGTACGTCAAGCTTCCATTATGACTTACAAAATTGCAGACTTGGGTGCTGACCATATCTCTTCCTTTAGGGGAATCGTATTCTGTTCTACGCCTGTCAGGTTCTACTGGTTCAATCCTGTCCAGATTCTCATGGACGAGCTCCTTGCAGGCGCAAAGATCGCCCTGCCCACACAGGTCCTTACCATCCTAGACCTCCTCCGACTTGGCCAGCAGGTCATGTTCACCTTTTTCCTCGTCGGCATCATCCTTTGCTTCATCCTCATGTTCATATCGCCCCTCGTCCTCCGATCGAGGGGCTGGTGCATCCCCATCGTCGCCTTTTCCCTCCTTGCCTGCATCCTCGTTGGCGGCGCTACGGTCCTTGCCACGGTCTTCAGCGTCGCAGCTAAATACGCACTCACGCTGCAATCGGAACTCAACATCGGCGTTGACCTTAGTGCTACGATGCTGGCATCTATGTGGATCCCCGCCCTCCTTACAGTGACGGCCTTCTTCCTGCACTCTGCCGTCGGCTGCTGCTGTCATACGCACAAATCCGAAGACGGGAAATGCAGCCCCGAAGCGGTGAACTCACCGCCGGTGTCGCAGAAGAAGCGTTTCAGCGTTCAGGACTTCATCAACAAGAGGAGAAGTGCCCATTCGTCCTCCGCGAGATTCACTCCTACCTGAAGACACGTATGATTACTGTCTGTATGACTTGAAGACCGTTTTAATAATGCTTTGATATATCCGGAGAACTGAGATATGAAACACGGCTATGGGCGCACATTCGTTTGTGCAGAAGCACGGGAGCAGTTTGGTCCCTGCTGTCTGTGTCAACTCGGGACATGCATGCATACACATATCCGTTCATCATTGAGTCCAAACAAGACGTTTTCATACATCCTGTGCTACCATCATTTCCGACTTGAAGGAGCTGCTTCGTCGATACAAAACACCATCTCCTTCTTCACCACAACACGGCCTAATGAGGTGACCGGTCATTTGGTTTTTTCCCATACCTGTATCTCGTTGAAGTCCTCACCATATCAGACTTGACCCTTGGGAGGTTTGGCCCGCCTGACCTTCCTTACACATAGACACTTCTCTCCATCACGTTAAACACTCTTTCCTTCAATTTTTTTTGTCTTCCGATACTATTATAGACGATCGCTGGCACTACTGCCGAACTGAATTGGTGGGCCAACATTGGATTGGGAGGGGAGGGCGGCGGGGTTGTCAGATGACGCGAATCACCCGAACCCCAGAAGGAGCACGGGGGAAGAAGACGAAGAATAGAAGGTTGGCAGAATGGTTATACATTAATATTTCCAGATGGTGTGCGGACTAAATACCTGTCAAGCGAGGGGTTGTGTTTTTCTTCTTCTTCATACGACAAAGGAAATGGATATAGACTGGCTTTGCCTTCATGGTTTCTTAAATAGACATTGGATGGGGAATAATAGACGAGAAATTCACAGCAGCCCTCGTGGAGATGTCCTCGCTTTCTGGGTATTCATCCTGTCAACTAGATAGAGAGTCGACGGGTGCGTATAGGCCGCATCAAGGAGTGAAAGGAAACCAACAGTCTGAGAATTGCCAGCTTCACCACACCAAAAACAAAAGAGAAGAAAAAAAAAAAAAGACCGACATACCATATACCCCAGACCCCCTGCCTTGGCCAAATAGGAAAATACAAAGGAAAAGAAACAGGTAAAAAGGGGGGGGGGGGGGGGGGGGGAAGAAAGCCCAAGATAGAAACCCACAACTCTCAAATCTGAGCCACCTCCCTCCTCAGGAAGAAAGGCCGACTAAGTCTTTTCCACAATCCCTGCTTCCTCTTCGCCTGCATCTCCTGCGCTTCCACCCTCATCCTCTCCATTTTCTCAGCAAACTCCTTCCGCTGCTGATTCATAGACCTCAGCGTCAATATCTCCCTCGCGATCTTCGGAAACAGCAAGGTGATCTGGTCCCCCGTCCTCGCCGAGACCTCCATGAAACTCGTCTTGACGTGGAACGAGGTGGCCACCTTGGAGCCGTCGGAGTAGGCGATGCGTCGCGCCGCCTCGTCATCCGATTTGTTGCCTACTAAAAGCAGCGCGTATTCCCGGGCAGCGGCGTTATTCGGTGATGTCGTGGAGTTGGAGGGTTGTCCCGTGGCCATGGTGGTAGGTCCGCCGGAAATGGTGTCCCGGATGAGTTCGTGCAGGCCGCGGGCGAGACGGAGGGAGTCCGGGTCCGTGACGTCGTAGACGAGGATGGCCGCTTCGGTGATGTTGATGGCTTGTTGGACTAGGTCGTCGCGCCAGAGGTGTTTGGAGGGCATTTCGAGGGCGTCGACGGTGTAGTTTTGGCCGTCGATTTCGGTGATGTGCCGGCAGCCTTGGTCGTAAAATGGATCGTGCGGTTCATCGGGATTGGGAAGACGGCCTTTGCAGATCTAGCGGGGGAAGAAAGCAGGGATGAAAGGTTAGCAATGTCAGGTTGGCGGTGAGAGAGGGGTTCCTCGGTGGGAGAAAACAAATGGAGGGCAGGGGGGAATATGTAAAATACCCGTGTAAGAATCGACGTCTTTCCTGTGCCCTTGGCTCCGATGACGAGCACCCTGAACTCTCCCGCCGGGGGCTTGCTATCGTTGTTCCGGATGTGGTTCTGCGGTGAAGCGGGTCCGGTTCCGCCGTTCGGCCGTCTCATGGTCAGGGCTCTGCGGAGCTCTGATGTCGCGCTGGACTCGAGGAAGTCGAGGCGTAGCATGGCGCGGAGGTATCGCTTCTCTTCCTCGGTCCATACTATGGACGCTGGACTGTCTGGAGCGGTTGATCTTGACATTGTGTGACTAGGCGCGCAGAGGGAGGGGAAGTGAGATGTAGAAGCCTAGCTACCAAGCGCAGGTGTAGCTATCTATTTATAGAGAGGGCGTTAACGAAGTTGGAGGGAAGTTAGAGTCCTTCCTCGTAATGTGGAAGTCTCAAGGAATTTTAGTCCGATCGTACGTCAACTTCTTCCTCACAACGAAGAAACGATGATAGAGAGCGCAAACGAGGAACACGCGATAAGCGATTATACGCTGCGAGAGCCAGCCTCATCTAGACGGTCCCGGGGACGTTGGATGTAGTCTTTGCAAGGTCAAGATAGCAGTAAACCGTCACCACGCGTAGTCGGAGAATGCGGTCAACGAGGACAAGTTTACAAACGAATGGAGAAATAAAACAACGGCGAGAGGGGAACAAGTTTAGAGGAAGGCGTCAGACGAAACATCATCCTATGGATATATGGCATAAGTGGGAAGATCTTTTATAGCCGCATGATGAAAGAGCAAAACGGTAAGAACCACGTAAGTTGTTGCTAAGAATTCGTATCATGAAAAAAGGATAAGAGTCCCCGCCTATTTAAGAATGGAGGCACATCTAGTTTTCTTCATAAATTGTCCCTTTGATATGTTAGTTTGCACTCCCCTTAAAGATAAAAGAGGGTGTCTGAAAGAGGGGGAATGGGCAAGCGAACCTGAGGGTTGGCATCATATTGCTATTAAGAATGGGAGTTCCCATCCCACTTACACTCGCTCTCTCTCTCACTAGCACACGTGCACACATATCATACATGCATCTATTACTCCATGTGTGGCCAGTGGAGGCCGGACTTGTGAAACTCGTTCGTTACAGGCAGTTGTATTCTGCCGGATAACCAGAGGCTAAGCCGCGTTTTGGAACGGATATGTCGAGATGGGGAATTGAAAAAAGAATCAATCTGATTTCTGCATTCAACTCATGGCTGCCCACCACTCTTCAATCCGTATCACTCCGCGGCTGTGAGGAGATGAGCAAAGAAAGAAGATGGGGCGGCTCTGGGAAGGTCCTCCAGGAGGGAGCCGGAGGATTTCGAGCGACGACTTGAATCGACTCGAATAGTCTTGCAGGAGCAATCATCCAGGTTATTGGATGAAGGCCGAACAGACGAAACGAAACACATCTCGGGTAAGTAAAAGACCTCCTCATGTGCATTGATGTCGTGCGGTGTACATGTTCTTGCCGCTCCCGAATGGGCGGGAGGAGTAATAAGAAGGCCGACTGGTCGAAGTACGTCGGGGAGAATTGTTTTAATTTATGTTGATTGTTGGCTTCAAGAAGGGGAGTGAGATATGGGATATGGGATGAAGAAAACTGCGCGCATTGCCGGAGTTGGAAGCATGCTGCAGGCGGTTCCGGTTACAGTCCCCTGAGTTGTGATTCGATGATAGAATGTGGAAACCTCATATTGATGGAATTTCCAGGCACGCGACTCCCACAAATCTATCTGTCTTGGACCTTATTTCGTATAGAGCAGGGATGTGCCATTCGATATCCTCATCTTCCTACAAGTATTTCCAAGTGAAGTCATTGATGCGTCTCCTCCAGTCGTTGCCTTTTGACCAAGAGGGAAATCTGGTCACGTGGACCGGCATTCCCATCCGATCGCAGACTGTCACTGAGACCCAAGACTGAGGAGACTGGGCAGGGGTTGAGATGATGCCCCTGGGAGCCCTGAGCCTTGGTATCCGCTGTCACGAAAAAAAACTCGTCACCAGAAACAGGGCATTGGTGAGATGGCCTGGACTGGCGGCACTCATGCTGCACACTAACCTGCAGGCGAGTAAATTCCGAAGCACTGGGTTTTTTTAAGATTAATACGAAGTAGGAGTCAAGACTGGGGAGACAAAATATGGATTGAAAGGAGCACATTGAAGCCTGGTCTGAATACTATTAGTTTACCAAGTTGTCTAAACTTGACGCTGAACCCACATCGTCGGAATAGAATCGTGAGATGCGGAGTGTCGTAGCATTTGCTGTGTTGCACAGCGGGGAATAGAAATGGACAACCAGGTCGGGGAGGGACTGGACAACGGACTGCCGAGGATCCGACATCTTGAGAGAAAGCAAGCAAGACTCAAGATTCGACCGTGTCGAGTTGTTGCACTCGTGCTTGCTATTTGCTGGGCGCGCTGCATACCCGATTTGGCCAGTCAGGCTTGGCCGACCAAGTACTAGTAAATCTTAACATCAAGTAATGCCAGCGCTGTTGAGTTCCAGAAAAACTTGCTTTGTATTATCGATGGTATTGATTGATCTTGGCTTCATACATCAGTGGATCAATAGTTCAATGTTGATGGTTACTTCGTGCAATCGCAATCACAGATGAAGCCGCAGCCAGCACCGCCAGCCAGGCTCGACATCGCAATGGTTCTCCCCACAGCGGCATCTACAGCCAACCAAGACTGAGCATTTAGCGTCGAATGGACCAGGGCGTCTTGGCCCCTGCAGCCTGGTGGTGGCCTGGCCAGGCCCTCAAATACCACTGCGCAACACCTTTGTACCAGATACCAGAAAAAGAGCCTGGAGACCAGGCAATGTTCTGTGTCTAGTACTGAGAAATCGGCGAGCATTGCACCCTGAAAGCTGCTTGTCGCGCTTTAACCTGCTGCCAAGTCCAGTAGTGTGACGCCCCGCTTTCCCCCCCTCCACCACTCAACTATTTTTACAATTTGTACCCCATCCTGGTCCTGTAGGGCAGAGAGTACGACAACATTGAACCTCGAATCGTCCTGTGTCGGTGATTGTTCGACCAGGGCCATTGGTACTAATGAGCACAGAACAGACAGGCCCAGCCATTTGATCTCAATGCTCAACTCCCGACTTCGTACACTTCGAGTGCTCCATCCCTAGCGCGGTGGGCCCTCTCCTACCCACGCCGATCCTCCCCTGCCTGCTCGCCTTATCCTTCTTTTTTCTTCTCTTGACGCTCTCTTTCCTTCCCTTCTAAGAAATGCCATTCGATCTTTAGCACTACACTTCGAGTTATTACGAAGCGCTTCCTTGCCTTCGCTTTATGGAGAGATTCTAGTTCGCCGTGGAACGATCTCGTCGTTCACTTATCGAGACCCTTTCCCTCACCTTCGAAGCTGTTGGGACTCACTCTCTCCCCGTCTTGGAGCCTTGCCTGGTCATTCGTTTTTGATAATTTGAGGCCAATCTCGACCCTCGAAGTTCTCACCTTCCTTCCCATAGACACCGAACTCTCCGTGTAGCTCCTCGTGCAATCATGATCCCGTAGAGACGGAGGACATGTCTTGGTACAACAACTCGGGCCAGCCCGGCTCGAGTGACCCGCGACTCCCTAATCAACCGCCAAATACCAGCTCTTTTAGCTCGCGCATTACGAGCTTCTCTGATATTGCCGACATCTCCATCGATCACCTCGCCTTCGACCAGGGAGCTTCCGCACCGCAGCAGCAAACGTATTCGGCGTCCACTCCGGGCCAGTCGAACCCCCCGCCCCCTCCAGCGCCGCGCCCCCAAAATTCTGTACCTGCATCCTCACCATCTTCCTCAATACCGCCCACACCGTCCTCATACACGAGCGCGCATATAGGAACGTATCCATCTTCGACGTCGCTGAACTCTCAGTATGGCTACAGCACCCCAAACATCTCGACTCCTGCGAGCAGCGCCAACATTCGGCCCAGCCACTCTGCCGTGTCCCTTCAATCTCAGTTCGATAGTCAGGGTCGACCTCTCCAGGGAAGGGAATCTATAGTATCGCTGCAGTCTTACTACGATCCGCACCCTTCGAGCAACACAGCCTACTCCCCCTCGACGTACAATTCCGTGGGACACAGCTCACCAGCAACACCGACTGCGTCCTGGAGCGGAAGCTTTCCATCCAACAATGGGTATCAGCCCGTCTCACCAGCAACCTCTCTATCTTACTCTCGATCCAGGGGCAACCGAAATAGTGTTCGCGGCGGCTACTCGTTGGCTTTCACGGGCGAACATGAAGCCATTGCCGAGGAAGAGTACGATCTCTCGCTCCTCAAATCAGCGGCCCCCATGGGGCAAGACCCAAGCCGCGAGCCGCTTCATACGCCGAGTAGCCCCGACTCGCCGGCTTTCGATCCCACTTCGACCTTGGGCCCCATGGGATTTCAGGATGCTGAATTCATCCGGAAGCTACAAGAGGAGGAGGCGAAGGGTCATCTGACAGGAGGGCTAGGGACCGGCCTCAAGATGGATACGCGTGTTTTCGGCTCTCAACTCCTCAGCCAGCCCGCGAATCTCCAGCGGTCCCTAACGCGCAGACTAACGTCGCGTCAACCGCAAACCCGAAGTGCCTTCTTAAGAGATCTCGGCCAGGATGAGGCCAACCGGAGAGGCCAGGTTATTGAGCTTGTCATTGACGAGCCGACTGGCGTGGACATAAGTGCTATGGTGGGCCCCGAAGGTATAGACGAGGATGGAAATGGTAATAAAAAACCACCGCCGCCACCGCCGAAGACAACGACCGAAATCTTTTACCCTCAACCCAACTGGAAACCATTCTCCATGAGATGGCCCTACCTGTCGCTCTTGGTTGTTCTCTCACTCGGCCTCGCAGTCGCGCAAGAGTTTATCTACCAAATATCGAAAAAGGAGGCTTTGATCAAGTTCACAACGCCGGACCAGATTAACCCGGGCGCTTATTTCGCTATAAAGTTCTTGCCTACCATCATATCGGTTACTTACGGTGTGCTATGGCAAGTCACAGATTACGACGTGAAGCGACTCGAGGCGTTTTACCAGCTTTCGAGGGAGACGGGTGCTCTCGCGGGCGAGTCCATCAACGTCGATTACATTACTAGCAAAACCTTCTTGCGGCCGTTCCGTGCGCTGAAGTTGAAGCACTACGCAGTGGCTGTGTCTTCGCTCGGCTCCGTGCTTGCCGTCTCCCTCGTTCCAACATTTGGTGCTGCGTCTATCCTTCTAACCCCAGATAAGGAGACCCGTCTACATAATCCTGATTCTGAAAAGTCGGTGATT